ATCAATTTCATCTTCTTAACAACTTTCCCCACAAAAATAAGAAGAATTAACTTTGACAAGAAATAAATTGAAAAGGTAGAAATTTTGTCCTTTCTATTGCATTTTCAAATATATTTGAATTGAAATATTTTCGTTTAACAATTTTTTAATTAACAGTTTTCAAATTTTATGAATTTAATGGAAAGTTTTCGATAAGTAAAAATTAAAATTTCCTTTCCTTCCGAAAATTTTATCTTTCCATTCTCTTTCCATTCAATTTTTAAATGACACATAAAGAAATGAATCGAAAAAATGAAAAATCAAATCTTTTAGAAAAATAAAATTGATTTATAATATCAATAAAATGGTCATTCATAGTAGTAATAAAATTGTTTTTTCAGAAACTATCTTTGTTAAAAGTGCAGCACACATTTAAAAAGAATTTGAAATTTTGAATGTTTGCTAAATTTATTATATCCTAAAATTATATTCCACAAAAAGTGAAAATATTGAAGTATGCGATGAGTGTATTTATCGCTGCATATTAGAACAATGTGAAAATGATACGATTAATTTAAAGATATTTCAAACTTCCAATATTGTCATCAAATATGATATGTAAATTTGGTCGAATTGCTAGTCGACAAATAGATCCTCAAAAAGCAGCAATAAGTTAACAAATTTCGAAAAGCATAAGCAATTGAACATCTGAAGAAGTTGAAATGCAAAGAAGCAAATTGAGATATACAAAGAGGAATGGAACAAGCTGAAGTTATAGCCAGTTAAAATTAATGTGAATTGATTAAAATGCTAAAGTACGCTAATAATAAAAAGTAAAAATAAAGTTGCACTGAGTGAAAGCAACCTTACTGCTCATGAGATCGATATTTGATAGAAAATCAAGCCGATGACCCTTCATATTCCTTCATACCTGTAAAGGCCTTTGAGTTCTATGAATTGTATGACACCAGTGATTGATAGTTAGACATCGCGAAGTTACAATTCTGAATTCTCTTATTTGATGAGCTGTTTATTCAATACAATAAAACTCCAATTCATTTAACAACAGCTAATAATCTTACAAATAGATAGAATCTTTAAAAATATTGATGAAGCCAATAAATGTGTTGAAGATAAATGTGTCATTCTCCAACATTTTTGTTGTTTGTAAACATGAATATCTAAAATGAATCAATTTTATCAAAAAAGCTTATAGAAGAATAGTTTATCAAGAAAAAAAGTAAGTAAATCAGTTATGAAATTGAAGAGAGTAAGAGAGATTGGTGGAAAACGTATCAGTAAACTGTTAAGTGATCAGTAAGCAAATAAGGCAATCAGAGATAAGCATATCAGTAAACTGTCAACTGACCAGTGAGCAAATAAAGCCGATGCAAATTAATTTTTTTGAGAATTAAAAAGAATAAATTCAGAAAGGGAAAAATGAGTTGAAGAAGAGAAAGAAATGGGTGCAAATATAATTTTATCATTTATAATTCTTTCACCTCTTTCTCTCACACACTCAGAACTTTACTAAAATTTTAGTTTTAACACTCCGAATGGATTATAATTGAAATGTTAACTGTTACGATCTTTAGATAATTCAATTTACATCTTTTTGTTTGTGTTTAAAACTTAAATTCATATTCACTCTAATATTGTTTGTCAACTTTGAAACATTTTTTTTCATTGCAAATATGACTCATTTAAATTAATCAGAAATTTAAACGTTGGTTGGAAAAAGATGAAAAAATTCAGTAAATAAATTATATTTTATGTTCGGAAGGTGGATTAATATTGTTGAGAAGGACAATCAATTTAACATACATTAACGATCAGCGGAAGATTAACAACACATACACACACACACACATATATATATATATAAACGATACATACGAATGATTTTTACAATTTGAAACTTGAACACAGTGACAAATTCTTCATATCTGCTGCGATTCTCTAATTGCTTCATATGAAAAAAGCGCCATGCTGAGTTAGTTTTTTAAAATTCAAGCCAATAAATAATAATTCATTGATGGGTTGAATGAATGAAAAAGAAGAAAAGTGCAAAAGTGCCATGCCATATTTCTAATTTTCCCAACCAAATGAAACGATATTTATGATCGATCACATTAATAAGAAAGCGCGATAATAAAGAAGAAAAATTGTTGCTGATATCTGATGATGGAAAAAAAAGACAAGACATTTGATTAGTTACAGTATTTATTGGCTGAATTTTTCGGCAATCATTTAATAGTACATTTAAATAAACGATGACTCATACTTGTCATCTTTCCCCACTACCAAAATTTCAAAAAAATATTGAAAAATTTATTATAGAAACGAGGATTTGTTCCCTTCCTCTTTTTGACTTTTTATCTTTTCCCCTTCCATTCAATTTCCTTTATTTACAAAAAATTAAGATATTTGTTAATGAAATTAAGAGCTAATTAATTGATAGAATACTTTGAATTGTTGAAAACGAGAAAAGAAGATTTGGGAAATGATGGAAAAAAAGGAATCAAATCTTTTTTTACCTCTCAATTCGATGACCCATCAAATATTTTCATAAGATTTACATCTTAACGAATCGATAAATCGATAAAAATGGATGAATATATATTGACAAGATGATGCAGAGAAACTAACTTTATGTTATCAATAGAAATTTTAATTTTATTTATTTAAAAACGAGTATTTCCTAGTAAAATCCGAATTTCGTTGAAGAGCTAATCTTTAGTTGATAATGAAACATACGCTTCATATAATTAATTCTTCAAATTACCAATGAACGGCGAGGGACTAACTGATAACTCTTATAAAATTAGATGTAATTAATCATGAAAACAATCCACAAATTAATTAAACCTTCTTTTTTTATAGTCAATTCTTTTAATGAGTGTTTGAAAGAAAACAAATAAAAATTTTGAGTTTTTTTTTGAAACCTTTAAAAAAAGAAATCAAAATAAAAAATGTATCCTAAAATGCGTTTGAAAGAATTAAATTCGCTTATTAAAGCTAAATGACATTCCAATGAAACAGGTCCCATTGAAATAATACTCATCAAACTGTAACTGATCTTAAAATGACAAAATTCTTTTCACTGTTCAAACGTTCTTCCTCCTAATCAGTAAATTGATAAGTGATTATTTGAGCATTTTAGCTGTCATATCATTATTCCCCTTAGTTTTCTCTTCACCTCCTATTTCCTACACTATTGTGTATAATTCGAAGTAAGGACGCGAAAAATTGTCATCTTTTATTGGTAAACAAAATATCGCTTCAAGGCAATTTTATTCATTTATTAATGAAAATTTTTGATTATAAAGTTTTTTCTTCCAAACAAATGAACGAATGTTTGAATTTATTTGGAATTTTTGACATTTTAAATTATCATCGAATTAATTAATTAGGATAACATTTAGAGAATTATCAGACAATTAATCTTCAAAAATTAGAAATTTTCAAATTAAAATTGTTACAACTAAGACATTAAATTTCATACATAAAATTCAAATATACGAACAAAGAAAGGTATGAAATAGTATTTCAAGAAATGTGAATAGTTCGTTCATAAACAGAGAACAGTGGTATAAACATCTCAATTATAATAATGAGGTTGGATTGAGGTTTAATTGACAACACTTATTAAAAACTCATCCATTCATGCAGGAAAACCCGTTTACAATGGCTGGCATATATTTGCATATATGAAAGAGAAAGAGAAAGAGAGAGAGATAGAGAGAGAGAGAGATTTGGAGAGGACAAACAAAATTTACACACACAGAAATAATTAAATGGTAAATAAATAAAGGACGCATTAAATGAAAACTTTTGTTACTTAAATTAAATTGATTTTAATGTTTAATTATCAATTTTTAATGTTAATGCATAATTAGATTTATGGTTTCTTTTTATTTTGTTCATTTTAATTCCTCATATTTCTTCTCTCCCTTCCTTTCTACCTCTCTCTCTCTCTCTCTCTTTCTCTTTCCCTCTGTTATTCATTTTATTACAGGAAAATTTTTTGATTATAGTTTTTCTCTCTTTCTTATTTCTTCTAAATGAAATAATTCAACAAAATATGAACATAAACAGTATGTTGCAAAAATATTTGGAAAAGCCATAGACTTCAATTCATTCAAAATATTTCATTATATGTATTAAACATTCCTGAGAACTTATTGTTAACATCATTGAGAGCTTAATGTTCTAGCAAATCTTTTTAAAGTACCTTGAAATTAAAGCATTCGATTATCGAATAACATTTGACGCATATTCTTACAGCCTTACTTTATAATTTTGCAAGATTTTTTAAGGAAGCTAAGTTGAAAATCCAATTATTAGAGAAATTTTTGCATTTCATTGGGCAAAATTAGGGAAAAACTTGGATCTTTCTGAGGGACTGATATAAGTTTAAAATTTATTTTGAAATGAGTAAAATTGAAAAAGACAATGAATGATATGACAATATGCTTTTATGAAACATATTGTAAGGAGTGTAGCAGAAAAGCATTCTAAAACATTTCTTATAACTATAATATCGATAAGTATAAATTGACCATTAATTACTCTAATAATTTATCCAAAGAATGTAAACATTGGCATAAATAGCAAGGGTAAAAACAATTACTTACCGTTCACGAAATATATTAAATTACATTTTCTTTAAATTTAAATCAAATGCCTAATTAGCGGTGTTTAACTAATTACACTGCTTCCAGTTGTTTGTAGCTATTAATTTTATTACACATAAATTTTCAAAATGCAAGTAATAAAAATGAGTGTCGAAAATGTACAACATTATTTTGTTTTATCAGTAATTAATAGGAAAAAATCTGTAAATAAAAAACTGTAAAAAAAATTGTAAATGAAAAAATGAAGAGTATTATTGCTGATTATAATATGAAGAAAATGGAACGAAAGATTCGCAGAAAGGAGCTTTTTAAATATTTATTGAAAATATACAAAGAAGTATATCAAATGAGATCACAATATTCAATACTACAAAGTAACTCTTTTTAAGGCATTTTCTGTTCCATCTTTAATTTTTCATCACGTTCCAACGTTTGCATTTCGTGTACGATAGCGTATGTTGGCTTTTGTCTTACACGCTTCTGACGATGGATACAAACGCTTAGTAGACTAATCGTTATCAAAATCTGCAATAAATAAGAAATTTATAGTATCCTTTTAAACTATTATTAATTTTCCGGATTTGTAGTTATTTTTCAAGCCATTATGAATATCCGAAGATTTATAATCTCTTTTTAAGCAATATAATCCTTCAAACACAACAATGTAAATTGACTCCCATTCATTATTCTCTTACTCCTAATCTCCATCAATTTATCAATTTATCAATTTACATGAATAGATTCCTAAATTTTGCACAACAAAAACATGAAAACGATACAGCTGATGTAAATTTATCATAATAGATACTAGTTACTGATGTTACTATACCATGGTAAATCTCTGATGCTGGAGAAAAGTCTGACCAGTATTGTTAGGATAATGTAGAATGGCATTTTATATGGATATTGGCACATAGTGCAAGGCTGCAAAAGCACTCGATATTGTGGCGCAATGTGTAGCTGTTCGATTGCTGGGATCACTTCATGCCAAAATTCAGTTACATTACTGTAGAATTCTATTGGAGCATTATTATTCCGATTGTTGATCGGTGTAGCTACACGATAAATTGTTCTGAATTGTTCAAAACCATCTTCACTAAGATTCCTAAAAATGTATTTGATAATTTTGGAAAGTATTGGCTGTTTTTTTCTCTTCTCCTAACCATATTACTTCTGCTAAAATCAATTCTGTCAAGAATTAAAAATAATTTTTTTTCCAGACTTTAAATTTTCTATCCTCAAATAATGCTTCCTTTTTTTTACTTTCAAATTCGAAAGCTATAACCTTTTACCTTTTATGAATAAAATTAGCCATTTGGCTGACAAGTTGGTGGATAATTTTGAGATCATCATCGTTCCATTCAATTGTTTTAAGTGATGACTTGGAGAGTGTAGGATTGTTAAATATAAACGAACAGTCGTTACCATGTGAAGCTCCTACATATGCTCATCTCATCAATCATCAAATATTATTCAATAATGTAGAAATTTTTAAACAGCTATTACAGCTAGTAGTTGAAAAACAGGAAATCCATTGAAATATCTATGAAATTTTGCAAAATTCCACTAAGGCATTTCAACTTTTTCGTTTCTAAAACATAACACAATAAATGTTTCTAACGTAGAATTTACCGCGCTGAATTCCAATTTTTCCTACGGATGACAACAATTGAGCATTTTCATACTCAAATATATATGCATAAACAATCCGATTTTTCCTTGCATAAAGCAATGCTTCACGTGCCGCAGGTGCAATAAAATATTGATCTGAAAAGATTTTAATTATCAATAAAATTCTATAAATTTTCATTAAAAATGGACTTTTTTCTTTTTTTAAAATTTAATCAAATTAACAGTGAAAAGCTTCTTTTATCGAAAATTTGAGAAAGAAGAAAAGAAGGAAAGACTCTCTATGGAATTATCACTGATATGATTATATATAACATTTTATAAATTTATAATGGAAATGATAATTTTTTAAAAAAAAAATTTAAAAGCTTACCAGATAAAATGTTAAGAATTACATCACGTCGTTCGGCTTCATTAAGATTTTGTGGATAATCACTTAAATATCGATATTCAACTGCTTTTTGGACCTGAAATTTAATTTGCAGCAATGCAAACTATTAATTAGAAGATCTCAAATATTGCTGCAAATTTGCGAGACAGATAGATAAAACATTTATAAAATAGAAAGATACATTCGTTTCACAAATTAATGTTTTTATTTAAATTATTTAGAATTAAATCTACTTATCACATATTATAACATAATTTCATATATTTCAAAGTTAGTGTAAAATGGCTACAAAGTGGCTTTAAAGACTATTCATTAGTACCTGCTTGTAATTAGCATGTAAATAAGAAGGTATAATATAACTGAGATCCCATTCATCGTTTTCTACATAGCGATTGTTGAGTGCTAAAATTTAAAAATGAAAGATTTTTCATTAGAAGAATAGAGTTTCATAAATTCAACGCAAAAAGCTTGGAGAAATGTGCAAAATTTTATCTACACTGATTTTTATGAAAGAGAAAAGTAGTGCAAATGTACAAGCATATGCGTTCTTCATCTGAGCAACTTCAGCATTTGTGACACCAATCAATAAAGGCATTCGTGGATTCTGAAGTAAAATGGACATTGGATCACCGGGAAGAACGCTTCCCTCAATACGATATGGATCGGTAGTTGGTGTAAAATAAGTGGTACCCATCAAGTAGTACTCATTACCCTAAAATGAGTTATTTTGCTATACAACGATCAGCAGAAATCATCCGTGGATTCTGACAAAATATTCACTTATTCAGAATCACTCACAGTAACAACGGCGGTAGTCAACTTGGCGATATACTTCCATGCTTTCTGCAATTTTTCCACTGGCACTTTTTTCAAGCATTCTATAGTATGTAACATTCCCAAAGTTCGATGATAGCGGCAACCACAATAATCTATTAAACGTGCTGAATAATTTTCCGTAGATGCTGATCGTACGGCCCATGGAGCAATAAAGCTTCCACTTCGTAATATGACACCATTGAATAGTCCTAGAAAAGTAACAGTATAAAACTAAGACTGAACCAGAATGAATCTCAAACTACTCGTATTACTAGATCTAAGTACGGTATAAATGTAAAGATTTATATCATATAAAATTTCTAGAAACTAGCTCTGAATCAGAAATACGTTAAAAGGAACGCGAGACCAGGTTTATTTCATGTAAATTTCATTCCGGAAACATATATTATTCTGCATTCGGAATGTTCATATATTTGAAATGTGATCCATTTTTTCTGATCTTGACAAATATTTCCATTCTATAAAAAAAGCTTTAGATAAACTTGCCCGTGGTCTTTGGTGAGACGGCTAAAATGCTTGCGCAAGCGGCACCAGCACCCATACCTCCAACAACAATATTATTCAAATTACCACCAAAATTACGAACATTTGCTCGAATCCAACGAATCGCTTCAATTTGATCATCTAATCCGTAATTGCCATGCAAATCTCGATGATTGGCTGTTAGAAATCCTCAAATGTTAATCCTTATTCTTTATTCTATTTATTATCAATTTATTATTATTACTTTTTTCGATTAGAATATTGATTGAACTTTGAGTAGAATTAAATTGACAAGAAGAATTCATCATTTTTCTTTTCTATTTCTGGATTAATTATTTTTAACTTTCAAAGGGAATTATTCCATTTTACTTCGTAGATATTGGATCGAAATTTTAATCTTAATATTTTTAAAGGAAGAGTCTTTTCCCATAGAGAAGCAATCAATATTAAATTGTTCCAATGCTCTTCTGCAAAAATGGAATTATCCACAAATGATGAATGCTACGAACAGAGCCACCCATGGGAAGTGACCTTTGTCCTCCCTTCAGCCGCCTTATTAGTGAAATAGTGCAAAGTTGAAATTGAACAAACTCACTGATTAAATGCAACATTGCGTAAATGAAAATAAGTATAAATGAATAAAAGGAATGAAAAATAAATAATCTACCGAGTGGACCGAGTCGGTAATTTATGGCTACAAAAATAATATTCTTTGAAGCAAAATTTCTCACGATTGATTCAATAGATGAAACGCTTGCACTACCAACCTGAAAAATTGAAAATTATCAGTAAGACTATTGATGTCTATTGATTGTATTAATAATATATATAAAGTTTTTATAAAAAATTTCAAATTTAGGCAAAGGAATATTATTATTACCTGGAAGGAACCACCGTGTAGCCAAATTAATATTGGAGACAACTTGTTTCTTTCCTGAAAAAAGGACAAATTTTTGTCGATAACAATGGCAAACATTTATTGAAATGCTCTTATCAAACGATATTTCTTTTCCAGGCGGAATTTTGTTTATCTTATCAAATAATAAATGAAATTGGCATAAAAAAGAATTTTGTATTAAGGAAATCGATTTGATTATTAATTAAAACTTTATCATATCTCAAATAATTCTCGATATAGTCAATGAAAGCAGTGTTAAACACATTTTAGCATTATTTTCTCAAGTTTTAAGTAATAGCGGAGCCAATTTAGCAAAAAAAAACTACAGGTGTGGTTTTCTTATCAGGTATGACAATGGTAGCATATAAGCAGTCCTCGGTACCACTGTCCTCGTTGGAATGTTGTCCAAACTGCACACATTGTACCATTCGACCTTTACCGCAATTCCTTCTCTTCTTCCATCCTATCAGTGCTTTTGTAGCCTACAGTTTAATGATACAAATTTCGAAGAATAATTTATCATGATTTAGAAGATTTACAAGAAATTAAAAGCGATTAATTAGCAATTTTGATAATCAAAAAAAGTTTTAGATGAAAAACCAAATTTTTAAAATTTTATAGAAATATTTTTTAATATAACTATTCGTAGTATACAAATATTTTTAGTGAAACTTGATATATATATATATCAGAAAAAGCTTGAAATATTTGTAACAATAAAATTAGTTTTTTATTTTTGTCCGTAGGAGTATTACAAAAATAAATCGTGGTTTCTTAAACTAATGAATCTATTTCAAATTCAAAGAACTTTTATCCTATATGAAGTAATGAAGGAAACATACATATCAGTGCATTAAATATGATCCACAAATTATGAATTTAAAATATTAAAAAATATGTCTGTAAAAATTTAAGTACATGTCACTACTTGCATTTGTATTGCACAGTGTACATCACTTCGGTCTTACTTCAAAGCGCAATGATCCGATAGGTGGTTGCGCATACGGAACAGCTTCATAAACTTCAGCAAATGTGCCGTTCAATTCCATATAGTATCCTAAAATTTCGCCGTGCGTTGTTTGCCGTGATGGCAGAACATCGGATGATATCGCTGAAAGCAAATTTTTCTCTGAAGGAATTTGAATTTCAAATATCACAAATGTTAATTTTAAAAACAAAACAATGTTTTGAAAAAGGAAGAGATTTTATCAATGATAATAGAAGCAGTTGTATTCATCTTGCAGCCAATTTAATTCATTCAATATTTCATTTTTAAAATTCTGAAAAAACGGAAAAACTGCGAGAAAAATTTTCTTAGATCTTTGTCGATTGATCAATTATTATCTAACATGATAAACTTACATGTTTCAGCATCAAATGATTTATTCTGCATTGCAATACTTTCTTCACTGGCACTCTCAAAAGCTGCATGCAACAAATGCATTATCGAAATATGCACAATGCGCATTTCAATTAAAATATCTAAAATCAGATACAATAGAAAAATCTGAGAATTTGAATATGAATGATAGCAGAGAGTCATTTAAATCTAAGTATGTAAAAATGGACTGAGCGTAGCAGTAAATGGTTTGATTCTCGCTGAAAAGGGTAGCATTCAAAATTGTAATCAAAAAGACATTCAAAAGGCATTTTATAATTTCTTCCCAAATCTTTGTTTAATCATTAATTCAACTCCATTTTCAAAATCTCCTTAACTGTAATGTTTGATGAGATTTGAGAAAGAATTTGAGAGAGATCATAAATTTGAGAAATTTTAAACGACAATCATCAGATAACCAATATGATATAAAGACATGAATGTTAATTTACTACACCAAATATTCGCTATATTTCTTTTATATCTCGATCAGAATGATGGTATATCCGTAACAAAACGTAAAGGATCTAATCGTTGGTCACTATCTTCGAAAAATTTTCGAATTCAAAATTATAGACATATAAGCTTTAGCATTCCAATAATCTATTTTTCTCACCTTTGAATGGAACTAATTTTGCTTATTGTTAACTTTTCTTTTCCCTCAATTTACTGACTGTTAGAGAGAGAGAGAGAGAGAGTTTTGCAAGAGCGAAATTCAAAAAAAAAGTTATGAAAAGTGATATTATTTAGCTGAAGGCAAAAAGAATGCTTAGAAAAAGGAAAGATTCAGAAATTGGAAAGATGCAAAAGAGTGTAAATGAAAACAGACCTGATGAAAACGAAGAAGGCAGAGAAAGAATGAATGTAGAAAAGTGTAAGAATTTCTTTTCATTCTTCTAAGATGAAAAAGAGTCGTATTCATCATGTTTGTAGGAAATATAATGAAAACAATGACCATTAATGACCACTAATGAAGTAGATAAGTGAAATGAATTGAACTATGGTTAATTTGAATTAAATTTCATATAAAGCATCAAAAAACATAAAGATAAACTAGCAATAATACAAACTGAATTATCATTCTTAAATTTAGTAGATCCGGAAATTAGCTTCGAAAGCAAAACTAGTGGTATAGAAAATTTTCTTCCATATTTCTATGTTTCTATATTTCAGCGGTAAAGTTTTACAATCCCTCACTGCTTAGAGGTCAAAAAAAGAGGAAAAAAATAAGAATATGAAAAGGAATGTCCATTTACTTTTTCACTCATAAATTTTTTGGAATGGTAATGATTACATAATAATCTTAGATAAATAGTCATCCTGAAGTTGGCGAAAATAAACGTGAAGAGCACATAGAGGTACTCATTCATATACATACAAACAATTCCCGAAAAGCGAATTGTTCATCAGATCATAGAAATCGGAAAGAAATGAACAAAAATATGAAAAGCATAATTGCTTTATTTCTAATATTATTAGAGATAGAGAGAGCTGTGCGCTTGCAAAATTTGCGTTTTCGCAACTTTTTTGCTTAAGATCGATGATTTCTTATTGGATAATTTATTCAAAAATTATGAGTGTTATAAAAGTCGGAGCCGAAATTTTCGAAATGATTCTATGATCGGAAAGAATCAGTCATTAACAGTTCCTTTCTAATGTTCCACCTTGTCTATCAGAAAAATCATAAAAATTTATTTGCATAATTTTTCTGTCATAAACTAAAAATATTTCAATTTCCAGATGTCTTCAGAGTTTGTTGAAGAATTGGACTCAATAAAGAATAAGTTGATTAGTCATTCCTGTTGTAGTCGACAGAGAGTCATTCTTTTAAATGAATTACTTCTAATTTAATGAGTCTTATGAAATCAATGAAAAACTATAATATTTTTTACATTATGGATTTCTTAGATCCATCTCCGATCTCTTCCTCTCTCACTCTCAAAGATTGATCTTATCTTTTACTTTGGAATATTCGCTAGAAACAGAAAATGTATTCACATTTAGATTCATTAATAATCGAATCTAAAAGGAATCTAAGAAATAAGGCCTTTAAATTATTGATAAAATGCCTAAAATAAAATATCACATTTCATTGTTTACTTATTTTATTGATAATAAAAGATTTGATTTTTCAGAGAAGAATTCAGTTTTTTTCATCCATCCAAATATGAATAACTTTTTGCATATCTGCTCGGGCTGTATTTGAACAACCATTACTTATTTTTCATCAGAAAAATACTATTAGTATATAAGAATAATAATGACTGATAAATTAGACAAGCTAAATTTGGATGGAATTTAGATTAAGACTTCATATTTAACAATTGAAGATTACTAGAAGAAAGGAAAAATAATTTTCAGTTTTCTCTTGCAAGAATTCAATTATCATATAAAGAACTTATCGTAAAACCAAAATTAGCAAACCGAACAGCCGAAACAGTTGATTAAAACAAAAAGATAAATTATTGTTTAAAAAACAAATAACTGAGAATAGAAATAATTAATAAATAAATTCGTATTTAACTGAATGAATTGATAAGCAAGCTATTAGGGAAATAAAGATAATATAAAAATAATAAATTGAAATATAATTTCATTGGAAATATATTCAACAAATATGGGAATAAGTATGTACTTAAATAATGATTATGTACCCAATAAATAAATTTATTTTGTACTGCTGAAAGAGTTTCTAAATTTGTAGTATGGGAGGATAGCAGTGTATATTTGGATATCTATATATCTGGATGGTCTGTCAAGTACAGCATAGACTAGACAAGGTGCATAAAGATAAGGAAAGATTGGAAGTTGAATGAAACGGAGGAAGCATATGTTCGAGTATTACGTCAAACTAAGGGACTGACAACAAACTGCAAGTGTTTGTTCCCTTGTTGAGAACGCAACTGACGGCAGTTTATTGATATGAACCGAAGATATTGCTTAATTTTTTTGCATAATATTATAGAAGCATTCGGAAAAGGAAAAACATATTTCAATTGAGATATTTGCAAGGCAGTTAATTAATAAGGCAACATATAGTACTTAGAATGATCATTTCGGAGGATATTTAACAGAGTAATTTAAACGATATTCATTGATGATTATTTAAAAAATTAAGAAAAAGAGCTAATTAAAAAGCTAAATATATTATTTGCTATCACATACAAACATTCATGCCACTTCAAAAAACAACAAATACGCTCTTGCACTTTCGAAGTCAATAATATACAATTAAGTAATGTTAACTACAGATGTGCAGATATTTGGAGTTCTTCAAAATCAAGAAATATGCAATTGCACTACCTAAAGAATGAATAAATGTACACTTGCACATTTTTAAATTATCAAAAGCACACAATTGTGCTTCTTCAAAAGATAAATAAAAAAGCACAAAAATAAAAATTAATAGAAAATGCTAAATGATAAAATATGCACGAATTTCTTTTCTAATTTGAATAAATGGTGTAAAGTTTACATAAAAAATTAGCTAGCGGATGAAGGAAACGATAAAGAGAAGAATATGTGCAGGTACAGTAAAGTTATGTTGAAAATTTCCTGATTTTAAATTTAAAGATTAATTCATTATGAGTTTCGAAAAACTTACTCTTTTATTTAAATTATGAATATGATGGGCTAGTTTTTTTTAAGGTTGCTTCTTTCGGAACTTATTACCTTGATATGTTATTTATGATAGAATATTCATCACCTGCATTTTCTATCCCAAATGCTATCTGAAGCATACATATTTAACTATGCATTAAATCCGTCATTTCCTGCATTTTGCAAGTAAAATCATTCATTATTTTGAATAAATTTTCTTTTACATATTTGTACTGTTCGTAATTTAATTTAGTTATGAATAAAATTTGCTTTCAAAATTATTTCTTTGACAAATTATTTTTGATTTCGAACTATAGGAGCTATGAAGATTTAAATTTCAAGCTGTTGAAACAGAAGTTGGAAGCAAGAAAAGGCTGCGAAAAGGGAAGAAATGGTATCGCATTAGTATTATTACTATTAATTGCCTCAAATTTTCACGTCTTCTTCAGACGATACTATTTAATGGCAATATTTCCTTAGCAAATATTCTTCACATTTTGCATACTTTCTCCTTTAACACTTTTATTTCATGTCTTATATGCCATGTCGATCGCTTCAAGCTTCTCTCATAATTTTTAATTTTATTTAAATTAACTATTTGTTCTTTGAAATGGTGAATATTTAACATTTGTGTAATAAATTTTATGTAAATAACAATATCTGTCTTATTATGAAATCATTTGAAAATTTAATTGATTGGCACTTGACAGAAGACAAAACTTTATTGTATTTCTGTACTTGTAAAATATTATTCTATTTCATTCATGCGATTTTGATCGTAACTACTTTTAACTTCCAGCATTCTCAATTCTTCAGTATTTCTTTAAATTTCGAATAATTTTTTATATTATTTTGATTTTTTTATGATATTCTAAATATATATCAATTAATGTCCATCTTTAGGATATCATTTTTTTGGCTGACCAATGATATTATGGCCAGCGAATATAATTCGAAAAGCGCTGGAAATGAATGGAGCGAACGCTGTAAAATTGCGAGGCAACAAAATGGATGTGAAGATCAAGAAAAGAGCAAAATGATCAAGGGTCAAATATGCAGTAATGAATGGGAGGGAAATAAATCAAAACGATTGAATATCAGAAGAAAACAAAAGGATGATAAAGGATCAAGCAAAGATAAAAAAGGATTAGGATTCGAAGATAACATAAATTTTAGAAATACAATTCAAAATCACGACGTTGAAGGATCGGAAGGAAAAGAATGGGCAGAAGCTTTCGAAATACCGGGATTATTGATAAATATCCAGAGAAAATGCACATTATCACTGTCATCATTTCAAATGCTATCAGATACTTTTCAACAATATCACACTCATTGCTGCAATGCATTTCATACATGTCAGAATGATTCGACAACAGAAACATTAAATCAATGTGCTGCAATAACATACGCTATCATCAGATTACTATTCCACATTGGCTACAATCCGGAAAGAATAGCAGTTTCCGGACTTGATACATTGATGCTGTTGGCTGCCAAAGATGCGATGAAACTTGAAGATGCGTGTTTCGCGTGGAAAACTGTCGCATCTTTAAAAAAAGATAGTAATAATCCGGAGATTGCTAAGCAAATCAATGCAATATTATTAAAGTTAGATATTAACTTTCAGAAAACAATTTCACTAATTAGTGTTGAACGTCTAACATTGTTAGATACTGAATCTCTCACAGCAACGATTCTAACCAGTGATGAACAAAATCAACAATTCATAAATAGTCAAGTAAAATCATATGTGATATTTGGTTCCTGGAATAATTGTACAATGAAGCATATTGAAAATTTTGATGATTTCATAGCATTTGTTACCTTTCAAAAAAATTCTAAACTTCTCGAAGCTTTGAGAAAAGTTTTAATTCAAAAGAAAGGTATTTCCAACTTTCCTTTGAAAAACCAACTTCACCAATCGAAAAAACCATTGAATCAAAGTGTTACGGAAACTTTGAGCGTGCAGGTAAACTTGAAAGAGAAAAAATACTTATTCACCCATTTAATATATAACTGTAACATATTATCAGCTGCGACATTGCTTGCTACTATTTATAGCGTATTATCAAATAAAAGGTGCATTTTAAAAGATATAACCTTCGTTTTTCCCGTTACTTTTGCATCTGAAAGTGAAACTATTAATTTTAAAATTCGAATTTCTTCTGAAATATGCACTGTTACATATTCAAATTGTCAATGTCTTACATTTCGACTTAGTGAACTCTGTCCAGGAATACATTCTGAATCCAGCGATAATTGGGAATGTCAAGGTATCTTTCATGACATTAATAAATTAGATGCCAGATTTGAATACAATGCAAAATCAGTTACAGAAGAAGAATTTTATGCAAAAATGGAGCAGCATCATTATCAGTATAATGAAGAATTTCGCTGTGTCCGAAAGTTACGAATGATAAGTAAGGATAGTGGTACGGTAGAGCTTTCGCGAAGCGCACATCTTGATGTTCTGATTGATGGAGCTATGCAAGCAATCGTTTTTATTTATATTCAACAATATGGCACAAAACTGCCAACTTTAGTACCGTTCCATATTTGGAAAGTGGAGATTGCTAGCATAACGGAACAAGCAATTTTAATGGAAAAATGTGAAGATGCTAATATATTGGCATCTGTTAAAGCTGAATTTGTTAAAGCTGAACTGCTTTTGGGTTCATTTAAATTTAAAACTAATGAAATCTCTGTTGCAGCGCATGCTGTAAGTTTTTATCCAATGACTCCTGATAATATAATGAAATCGTTGAAAAGAGAAAGAGTCCTATCGACTAATTCTTTTAAACCACGGATCGATTCTCATCCTGAAGCATCGTTAAGACCAGAATTGGAAGAATTGATGAATAAAAACGAGTTATCAGAAATGACATCGAATCAATTGGCACGACAAGACAAAAGATTAATATGCATTAAATCAATTGCATGCCGTTTACCCAAAACTGTTCATGATCCAGCTGACTTTTGGGATGCTCTTAAAACCGGTCAAATAATGGCAAGTAAAATTCCATGTTCAAGGATCAAGGGAAGGGATAGTTTAGCTCAAGGCCAATATGGTCATTCTGTTAGGTGTGCTAATTTCTTAGCAAATGATATCAGTCATTTTGATGCAACGTTTTTTGGCATTTCACGAAGTGAAGCAGAAAAAATAGATCCACAGCAACGAATACTTTTGGAATGTGTATATGAATGTATGGAAAATGCTGGATTAACCTCATTGAGAGATGCTGGATTTTTTGTCGGTTTCATGTCAAATGAATATCCGGATATTGTGAAAAGTCAGGATGCTGTGTCGATGCTTGGTTCAAGCGCTAGTGTTGTTAGTGGACGATTGAATTATTTGTTTGGAAGTACTGGACCAGCAATTACAATTGATACAGCGTGTAGTTCGAGTTTAGTTGCATTGCAAGCAGCAATTCATGCATTACTTGAAGGACATTGTACTATAGCTGTTGTTGCTGGAGTTAATTTAATTTTAACGGAACAAAGTATCGGTCAACGAGCGAATGGTAATTTATTAGCTGATGATGGCATGTGTCGTAGTTTTGATGCACGATCAAGCGGCTATGGAAGAGCAGACGGATGCGTAGCCCTTCTTTTAAGTATCGTCAATAAAACAGTAGAAGGAAATGACTGTGCGGCAAGCATTGTTTCAACATGCATTGGTCATAATGGGCAAAGTGTTTCACTTACTGCACCTAATGGCCGTGCCCAAGAAAAGTTACTCCGAGATTGCTTAAGTAAGATTCAAGGCAATCAACCTGTTAAATATTGGGAAACACATGGAACAGGTACCGTAATTGGTGATTCAATAGAGCTGAAAGCATTACAAGCAAATTTACAGCAATGTTTGATTAGCACTGTAAAGACACATTTTGGACATTCAGAAGCCGCCGCTGGTGCTGCTGGATTGGCCAAAATTTTACTACAGTTTAAATATGAATACATTCCGGAACATGGATCCTACGAATTTTTGCAAAATTTACGAGATGGAACTTTATATTTACCTGTTATTGGTGAAGAATGGATAGGAGGTGCAATAGCTGGAACAAGTTCATTTGGTATTAGTGGGACAAATGCTATGATAATATTACAATCTGAAAAAAGAATTTTTAAGCGATCGAAAAAAAGGGTAACAGCAAAACGGGAAACGTATATTTGTCCAATATCAGCAAAAAGTAAGGAATCGTTGAATATGTTAGCGATGAGCTATCAAACAATGCTTGAAAATACTTTTCATAACATAAAAGATGTTTGTTCAACAGCAGCGCTTCATCGGAATCACATGCAATATCGTGCCATCATTTTACTACGTAAAAGAAAGATTATGCAAAAATGGATGAATTATGAAAATTTTGAAAAAAAAGCAATGATAGGATTGAAGTTGTACAGTAAATCATATCTGTACATACTTCCCTGGCTTTATTTGACCTTTCCGAAATTTAGGATAAATTTCAAAATTTATTATCCACTAATGAAGGGTTTTGTAACGCAACAAATTTCAACAGAATTTCAACGAACACAAAATATTGTTATTCTATCAGGCCTTTTAGGTTTAATTACATTTTTACAGGATATCGGTATTAAAATAAAAGCTATTCACGCCTATGATAGTCTATCGCTCACTGCAGCTCTATTAATTACTGATAAATTAAAGTTTACTAACCTTAACAACACAGTGTACTCAAATATAGAAATTTTTACCCAAAAAATTTCAACAACGAGTACGTATATGGATAATTATAAATGGTATAAATTATATACTATAAAAGATGGAGAAACTTTTGAATATGAATTAGCGGAAATGATTGCAACATCTTACCTGCAAGGAGATTATATTAATTGGACATGCTTGTACTCACTACCACTTTATCCGATTACACTTCCTAATTATCAGTTTAGACGTGAATCGTATTGGATTACCGAAAATTCAGCAACAATCGATCATTGGTTAATTGGAAGATTAATCAAAGATGAAGAAAACGAATGCATTTTCATTAATCAAATCAGCAAAATGACAAATGGAGAATTGATGGTTATCAAATTTAGTGGACAAATGCGCTTGTCTTTTGGTATTTGTTGTGAGGCTATCATACAAGCACTTCAACTTACCTTTTTGAAGAATATTACCGATCAATCACGATACTATTCCTTCAACGATATAACAATGATAAAATATCGCGTGCAAGAAAATGATTGGATAAAAACAACAATTAAGAAGCATATAGACGAGAAGTATCACGTAAAACTAACGTGCGCCTCAAATATTATTTGTGAAGCAAACATTATCCTTACTGCTTCTACAATTCCAACGAAGGCATTAAATATCAATCAAATTGGAAATTTTATCACAAAGCCGAATTTTTACGAAACTCTGAACGATAAAGGAATATTTTACGAGAGAATTTATCAAATAATCACCCATGCTTCTTCAAATGGAAGAATATTTGTAACAAAATGTCGCTGTCAAATTTTTCTTCTGATGGAAGCGATAATACAAACAGCATGTTATCTTAATCTTTTAAATCCATACGACATTTATGGTGAAAAAAAATTCACCATCGAAAATTTAAATTTTCATATATTTTTGTCCGATTCAATGTATGTGTGGATAGAAAATCGCGATATAGTTGTGTATAATGAAAGTGATAAGATGATGATAAGTGCAAATTTGAATTATAAAAAAGCCAAAAAGAAATTTAGCAAAAGGAAGTGTCAGAAAAAAAAAAATGAAGTAAAATCGGATCAATTTATTGGCTTTTCGTCTATCAATTATGAAGAATGTGCTGATAAAGTACGACAAGCAGTTGAAGATATCCGCAAAAGCGATAAACCAATTATTAATGAACAATCATCAGCATCATTCACTGAACTTGGTCTTGATTCGTTATCGCTTATTGACCTTGCTAATCGCCTAAATACTATTTATTTTCCTAATTTTCAAATTGGTGCTGTTGATCTTTTCAATTACCCAAATATTTTTTTGTTAGCTGATGCGATCTATAATCGTAAAATATCATCAGCGATTACTAATAATAAAGAGGAAAAGATGCACCAAATGATGGATAAACATTCTGATATTATTACTACTTTGGACAAACCCACTCGTAGAAGATCTCGAAGTCAAAATAAGCATTGGTTATCGACGATGGATAAAGATGAAAGTTGCGCATTTGCACAAATATTCTATAAGGGGCAGTCAAAAAATGATTGTACAACTCTCATTATTACTGATAAGCAATTTATATCAGAAAAGAAACTGGATAAAGAATTGGTAATCATTGCAAGTAACAAAAAGCAAAAATGTAAAAGCACTGAAGATGACACTGGAATACTATATTTTAATGCCAGAAATCCTAAAAATTTTAAGCGCTATTTTTCACCGCATTTAGATGATCAAAAAACAATTATGATCAGATTTGACTTGAGCCGCAATTTTCCTTTACGATATCTTGCAGAAATTTTACTTCATCTTACAGAAGCAATCATTCAATCCAAACATACTTACATATTTTCCAGTAAGTCTGAATGCGGAAGCGCTAATGCATTTGCATTAGGATTTTCTAAAAGTTTATCAGCAGAATTATATCCCAAAGTGCAATATGAATGGAATTTTATTTTAAAAAAAATTTCAAGTTTAACGAAATATATGGAGAAATTACCAAAGTCATTGCAAGCAGATGATGATAATTCGAAGGAAAGATGGCTTATTACTGGAGGTCTTGGTGGAATCGGCTGGCAAATGGCTAAATTTATAGGATACAACCGAAGAGTTTCCCATCTTTTTCTACTTGGTAGAAAGCGACCAAAGGAAATACAAAGTGAAGAAATGAACAAAATGCGTGATAGTGTAGGCGTTGATGTACGTGCAGTTTCCGTCGATTTGACATCTAAAATTCAAATGAAAGAATTCTTTGAAAAGTTACAAATATCCTTAACAAGTATTATTCATAGTGCGGGATGTATTCATGATGCTTTAGCATCCAAACAAAACATTTCAACTTTTCGACTTGTAACTGAAGCGAAATGTGATGGATTATTAATTTTGGAAAAACTATGTCTTTCACACCCAATCAGACATTTTATTGTTAACTCGTCCATTTCTGCAATAATTGGTAATGCTGGCCAATGTAACTATTCAGCAGCTAATGCTTTTATTGATGAAATCATGGTTGAACGGCATGCAAAAGGACTTCCGGCAACAATAATTAATTGGGGAAATTGGCTGGAAATTGGAATGGCTGTTAAAGCTAACAAAATTTTGAACATAATGGGATTTATCGGTTTAAAAACCCAAAAAGCGATGAATTATTTACAAATTGCCATTGATTATTCACCGGCAAGAATAATTGTCACTCAGATTGATGTCCGAAAAATTCTACGCTACCGTCCTGATTTATCTGTTGTATTTCTGAATAATACAAATGAAAATAATACTTTAAAAATCAGAAAGAATGTTCAACAGGCTCTAAGCCAAGATTGTCAACCCAAGATGTCAAGCTCTAAGCCAAGATTTGTCAAGCAATGCAATAAAAACATAGAAGAAAATGGCAGAATTTATAAAAATAACATCAATCGCCTCAAATTAGTAATCGTCGAAATCTTGGAGGAAATAACTGCACAAGCGATAACTAACGAGGATTACCAAAGAAGTTTTATGGATCTTGGTCTTGATTCTCTTAAAATATATCGATTTGTAAGTGGGTTAACGAAAAAAATTGAAATAAAGCCTACTCTAAATGTATTGGCGATATTTGAGCATCCAACAATCGATCAACTTTCTCATTATATCGGGTCACTATTCTGCCGTATAAGAGAACGTTCAGAAATGGTAACAAATGGCGATAATTTCCCATCAAAGCATAAAAAAAATTTAGAAAATACAGCTAAAAATTTTAAACTTTTTGTGCTCCACTTAAAAGACGGAGAGAAGTTGCGAAAGGAAAAATTTCATTTTCTCGACCCGTTTGAACAGTCGTCAAAAATCTCAGAAATATCATCGGATCGATCATTTGAACAAGATCAGTCTAACGGTTGCTTCCATATTATTTGGGGTTCAAAATACAAAATACTGCGAAATAGTTCGCTACGCTTTGAAATTATTCCTAATAACAAGCAATCCCGAAAGCCAATCATCTCCTTTATAGTCAGTGGTCAAGGAGGTCAAGTATGGAATATGGGTAGGCAGCTCAGTTGTATTTTTCCATTTTTTCGAAAAAAATTCAATGAAACATTAAATGCTGCCACTCGATATATGCCCGAGAAATGTGTAAATATTCGGGACATAATTTACCAATGGCGTCATCGAGAATTACTATATAAAACAGAATACGCTCAACCGATTATTTACTGTTTTGCATACACACTTGCTAAATTTTACGAATTTTGCGGTGTACAAGCTAATTTTTTTGTTGGGCATAGTATTGGAGAAATTGTGGCTTGTACGTTAGCTGGTCGAATATCATTCGACGATGCATTAAAATTGGTTATACGACGGGGAGAAATTCTTGGATTTACCAGAGGGAAGGGCAAAATGATTGCAGTAAGGGAAAATGATGCCAAAAAACTTCAACGATACAGTGGGATGAGTAGGGCAGCAGAAAATAGTTACAAGCAAATTGTTCTATCAGGCGATAATCGATCAGCCAAATTATGCTTTCATTTTGCACAATCATATCAATGTCCGGTCACAGTAATTGATGATTGTTATCCATTTCACAGTTCAGCGATTGATGATACACTAAATGATCAATATATGATGGATTGTAGAAAAGTGAAATTAAAAAAAACGAAAACACGAAATATTGTTAGCAGTTGTACCGGAAAATTTATGGAGCACAAAATGGAACCGATCGCTGCGATCAAATCTACTGTGTTTTTCAAAAGATGCGTGAAAACACTGTATGACCAAAACACTAATATATGGCTTGAGATAGGTAATGGTGAAATTTTGACAACGTTTGTGAGAAATATGCTGGGATCTACACCGGATACATTGATATGTTCAGCAATTAGAAATGATAAGCAAGAAGTGGATTCATTCATTCACTCATTATGTCAACTTCAGATTTTTGGAGTTAAGATTAAATGGGAACGAATATGTAATAAAATAAATGGTAATAATTCTGAGGAAACTATGAAATCATGTGAGAAAAGGACCGAAAAGAAAATGATAATTAGAAAAGAAAATGATATGGCACTGATTGAGCAGCATCTTATCAATGGTGAAATAATATTACCTGCAGCATTTATCATCGTTAAATTTGTTGAATTTGCTAAAAACTCATTAAAAAGATACATTGGCAAATCAAAAATGCGAAGATTATTTTTTGAACACAAAACGATCGCTTTTGAAGCATTAAAGTTGGATAAGCGAGTGAGTGAAATTGATCTAAACAAATTGGGAATAAAATTCGATCCATCTGAATTGATTCTGACAGATAACATTAGCAAATATAGCAGTTGCCGGTTAGCTAATGAAGAGTGCACAAAGAATTTGGAACAAATGAAACAAATCGATGCTTTAATTACATTACGAATTAAGTACGAACAATTAAAGAGAAAAATGAATAAATTATCTCATCGAGCATTTTATGAAACAATGAGAAGAAGCGGTTTGCAGTATGGACCAAAGTATCAAATGTTACGGGAAATATACTATAAAGGTTGTCTTATTGGTGCAACATTGATCAATGTTACTGATCTAACTGAACTTCTTGATGGAGCTCTTCAACTACTTTCTGCCGCTCTTCTAGCCAATGGCAAATCAACAGTTTATATTCCATTTGCAATCGATGATATCATAATCAAATATGATATGAAAACTGCACACAATTCTTTCCACGCTTATGGAATTATCTCGAAACGTATTGATAATATTATCAAAGGGTCAGTTGTTATTTACAAGGATGGCAATCAAGTCATCATTCTAAACAACGTTATAGCAATTGATATTAGTGCTAACAAGCCCATCATATCAATCAAACATCGCAATCCATCAGATTCCCTATATTCGACTGGTACTAAAATCAAGCATCCTGCAATCACAGATAAGAATGGTGAGAAAAAACATATTGAAATGAATTCGAAAAATGATGCTGTTAATGCGTTAACAACTGAAATCAAGAAGGATAAAAAGTCTATTCGGAATGAAACGTTGCAAATTGAAATTGTCAGTTATGTTGGTCAATTTCCTGGTTCTGCAGTTGATTGCGCTTCGTTGTGGAATAATCTGAAAACAGGAACAAGCTTGCACTTCTCCAGCAATATACAAAAATTTCAAACCGATATTACCTTCTTTGATCCAATAAAATTTGGTATTACACCTAAAGAGGCTGCTTATATCGATCCTCAACAGAGAATTCTCTTAGAGATGGCACAAAAAACGATTGAAAATGCTGGATTAGAAAAATTAGATAGTGGAACGGGAGTGTTTATTGGTGTAAGTTCGAGTGATTTTGCTCAGAAGGCATATCGAGAGATTGAAGATACAAGTCCTTACCTGAGTACCGGTACAAATCAAAGCGCTTTAGCTGGTCGCATTGCTTATTGGTTCAATTTAAAAGGACCTACAATGGTGATCGATACAGCATGTTCATCATTTTTCTCTGCTCTTGCTGTTGCTTGCGATAACATTAGAATGGGTAATTGTCGGGCAGCTCTCGTTGGAGCTGTTAATATTATCCTTAATTTGAAATCTACTTCAGTATTGGAAAATGCCCAAATGCTCAGTAAAACAGGCTTTTGCAAAGTATTCGACATGGATGCGGACGGATATGCCCGATCGGAAGGCGCTGCTATGATATTAATTCAGGGACTAAGTGAGCAAAGTTATAATTCAGGGAACGAAAAGTTAGCTATCCGGCGAAATGATATGACGTTTACAATCGAATCGTACGGTATGGGACATAATGGACGATCGAATGGGCTTACGATACCAAATGGTATAAGTGAGTACGAACTAATTAATAGGGTTAATACGAAACGTGTAAATACGTCAATGATAAGTTGGGTAGAAGCTCATGCGGCAGGTACACCATTAGGTGATCCAATTGAGACGGAAGCTATTATTAGAGCTCTAGCAGATTTATCGTACACAGATCATCCGATTTACATTACGTCTGTAAAAAGTTCAATTGGTCATTGTGAGGCTGCAGCCGGTGCTGCATCTTTGATAATGGCGCTTGAGGCATATCGTCATCGTTACCTACCACCAATCCAACATTTTAAATTGCTAAATACAAATATCATGAACGAAGCTATGCTAAGTGTACCAGTAATTGGCGAAGAATTATCGGATAATTTTGATATGCTTATAAATAGTTTTGGTTTCAGTGGTACTAATGTATCGATAGTTCTTAAAGGATGTAAAAGAAGACAACTGGAGAAAAATGAACAAACACTGAATCATCCAGCGATGAAACAACCCAGCCATTTTTCATGCATTCTTCTATGCTCTGCAGATGATTCAAAATCATTCAAACTGGTATCTGAAAAATTAGAGGAGTATCTGAAAGAAGTAAGCTACAATCTTGCAACAGTTTGCACATGCTTACAAAATTTGAGGAGTACCGGAAGATATCGGACAGCAATGCCGATTAAACGACATACACAAAAATGGATACCTTTCCGGATAACGAATAAACCACAGAAATGGACCAAAGTTGTTTTGAGTTTGGGAAAAAGTCCAGAACCGTCTATGATCGCTGAACTATTCATAGTCTATCGTTCTTTCCGGAAAATTTTCATGGATTATATCAGAACTTATAAATGTGCAAATAATTTTACACCATCCAAACGAAGCGGAAAATTTGCATACGAATATATTTCAAAACTTTCATTGATTACATTTTTACTGGCCATTGGAATAAATCCGTCAACAATTATAGCACCCACTAGAATCGATCGAATTGTTGCAGAAATAATAAAGCGAAAGTATAAGACGAAATATGCTCTAGAAGCAATAAATAATTCCAAAAAAGGAATGCCATATCAGCGTTGCAATTTTGAAATACAACAAGAAATAGTTTCCGAAGATTCTGATTGCATTTTAAACGTGCAAACTTTGCTGATTGAGAAACTTGAAATGGTATGTGGTAATAATTGGAAGCGGTCATTTACTAATCAATTCGCGGATACAATTTGTCAATTATATGAGCGCTTCATTGATATCAATTGGCAGGTACTTAATGATCGAGCAGCTGAAACATGCCTTATACCGGATCCTGAATATTCCAAGAAAAAATATTGGCCTTTTACTGACCTTAATATGCAACATATCGATTATAATAATTTTTCGTATGGCGAAGTTCCCTTTTCGAATTTGCAACCGGAAATATCTCAAACGATTAAGAAACTTGATGAAGCAGATTCCTTAATTGATTCATTTAACAGTAATAATATTGATAGTAGCAAAATGGATTTGATCAATCATCACTACTTATACAAATTAGTTCAAAAAAAATGCATACCACCGAATCCGAAACGAATTATTCCATTTATTGCTATCAATCTTACCGATTCGACAACAATTATAGGACAACAAGCTATCTTTATTGATAAGATAAACGATAATAACGATATTTTTAGGATCAAAAAGCAGCTTGATCTACATAAATGTACAAAGTTGGTATTAGAATGGATAGTTGACGAGGAAAATGTACTGGAAAATACCATAAGGCAAAGTATGTTGGTGATTGATTTATGGAAGATTCTGCTAAATAACATCAACAACAACAACAACAATTATCCCAATATAAATACGAAACTATGCTTAATTGTCTTTGCTACTATTAATACCAAAGGGAATCAACGATTATTTGCGCCATTTTCTGCTTTACTGAAAACATTAGCAATGGAACAAGCAAATGTAAATTTCAAAGGTATCCATGCTGATATCATCGATCAACAACTTTTCTACGAAATTTCTGATGAAAATTTTCTCAATGAAATAATTTATCACAATAATGGTAATCGATATGTTGAAAAATTGCAACAAATTGTTGATAACACAGTGATAATTGTACGACAAATAAGAAATGTTGGTCGAATACTGATAACAGGAAATATTCGAGGAATAGCGATGGAATTGATTAAATTGTTAAAACCTTATTTGGCGGTAGTTGTATCCAGAAGTATGCCAAGCATTTGCAACAATGGTGATAATAGCTCTGTGGTTAAAACAATACAAACAGATTGTACCAATTACAAGCAGATGGAAAAAATTTTCTCGACATTTGCACCATTCGATTTTGTCTTCCATTGTGCAGCAACAATAAATAATAGTTTGATGGAAAATATGAACGTGAAATTGTTTAAAACGGTATGCTGTCCAAAGGTTATAGGTTTACAGAATATTATCAAGCTTTCGCGGGTATATCCAATCAGGAAAATAGTAGCATTCTCATCAGCGGCAACTATTTTTGGCTCTGCTGGGCAAGCTAATTATGTTGTCGCCAACGAACTTATGGAATATTTGATGAAAAGAAATGTGCCAGATGGTTTGTTCATTAGCTGGGGACCATGGGATGGACGAGGACTTTTGGTTGGCGAACATATGGCTGGCATCCGGAAACAAATCCAGAATAGCGGTTGGAAATTAATGCAAGTAGGACAGGTTGCTCAATTATGCTGTAAATTACTTTCCAATACAGGTCATCATATAGCAATGGATGTTAATTTTGATGTACTTCGAAAAAAGCATCCGTACCTGAACAGCTTTCTAAAATGTATTCCAGATAATAAGATCTATAAAAATGACGACCTGCATTTAGATTGTAAATCAAGAAAAGATTTCAATGAAATAATCAAGAATTGTATTACAGAGATAAGCGGTATTACAGATGTAAAGCCTGATGTTGGTTTCATGTCAATGGGAATTGATTCATTGATGATCTCTGAAATGCTAACATTGCTTAAAGAACGATTAAATTTGAATATTTCAATTGCTGTTCTCTACGAATACTCTACTGTGGAAAAACTATCACAATATTTATCGCAAAATATTTCGACAGGTTGTAAATTGATAAATGATATGAAAGTAAAAGATACAAATGATGAGGTTGCAATAATTGGTTATTCGGGAGCTTTTTCCGGAGCACCTGATGACGAGACATTTTGGCATTCTCTATTAGATGGCAAAGAATTAGTTGGACATCACAAAAAAACTATAAATGATAATTATGAAGTAATAGAAGCAGCTGGCACAGTACCAGATATTGACAAATTTGATTATCGATTTTGGAAAATGAGTCCTGATGATGCAAGTTACATTGATCCACAAATCCGGAAATTTATTGAGCATGCATATGTTGCTCTTGAACGATCAGGTCTTATAAGGCTCAAAAGTAAGCTGAGAATAGCAGTCGTTGCTGGTGCTGAACCATCAGAATATCGCCCAAAATCACGCCGTATCGGTGGTATCGAAGATTTATACGAAATGAATCAGAAGGATTTTGTTGCTGCATGGACCAGTCATTTGCTCGATCTTCATGGTCCATCATTTGGAGTTTATTCTGCCTGCTCCACTGCTCTTGTTGCTATTGTACAGGCTCTTAATTTGTTGCATAAAAATCAATGTGATGTTGCGCTTGCGGGTGCCGTATCTTTGACTATACCTCGTACTGATAACAGCAGTAGCTTACGAGGAATGGTACTATCATCTGATGGTCATTGCCGACCATTTGATCAAAAATCGAGCGGAACGGTTCGAGGTTCGGCAGTTGGTGTTGTTGTATTACGACGCCTTAGTCAGGCTCGAGAAACCAATACTCCGGTGATAGTTAAAATAGTAGGCTATGGGATTACTAATGATGGCCTGTTAAAGTCTAGCTTTATGGCACCGAATATCAGCGGTCAGTTAACTTGCATGAAGGAAGCAATTGAAATGACCGGTACAGCTGAAGTAGATTATATCGAATGTCATGGGACTGGGACAACAACGGGTGATCTAATCGAACTTACAGCAATGTCCCAATTATATCATCGTGATACATTAATTGGTTCAGTGAAGGCTAATATCGGACATGCGTTAGCTGGAGCTGGCATTGGTGCTGTTATTAAATTATGCAAAATCGCCGAAATGAGAATTATTCCGAAACAAATTAATTTTGATAAATTAAATGAGAATCTGAAAGATGTTAGTTTCAAAATTAACCAATGTAACATCGAATTTCAAAAGAAAAAACTACGACTTGCTGTGAATTCTTCTGGTATTGGTGGAACTAATGCACATATCATTATGGAAAGTGATGATCACATGTCTTCCATCAATCATTCAAATATTAAGCAACGTTTTTATGCTTTAACAATATCCGGTAGAACTGAAAATGCGTGCATTCGTCTTTGTGATCGTATATCTAATTATCTGAAATCAGAAATGGATTTAACTCAAATAGCAAGTACATTACAAAACTATCGTGAACATTTTGAATATCGGATTGGTATAAGTGTACAATCAGCTACGAACGCCATCAATCAACTGAAAAATATTAGTAAAATGGAAAAGATGATCCAATTGAATCAAGAAAATGTCGCATTCTATTTTGCGCCTCAAGGATTGGAATATTCTAATATGGGATTGGAAGCAATGGCTTATAATGAAGTATTTCGTGAAGTGATGCAGAAATGTTGTCATATTGCTACCAAATTAATTGGTATCAATTTTCACACTATCATTCATCCACAACAAAAATTTGATTCGCGATATGCAATTATCAAACAGCCGTACTCACAAATAGCAACATTCATTATTTGTTTTGCTTTGGCGGAGCAGTTACGAGCCTGGGGAATTGAAGGATGCATAATGATAGGACATAGTTTAGGTGAATATGTCGCGGCTGCTCAAGCTGGCGTCTTTGATATGGAAACCGCATTAAAGATACTGTTCAAACGAGGATGTTTAATTGCGAAAACGGAAAAAGCAAAAATGCTTGCTGTAAAATGCTCAGAATTTGCATTCGAATTACCGATAAGAAATACCGATGAAAAACACCTGAAAATTGCTAGAACAATTGAAGTTTCTGCTATTCTTCGTTCGGATCTTAAATGTTTAGTTGGAAAGCCTGAAAGAATTGATGAGTTGAAAAAAAAACTGGGGGAGGACGAGATGCATTGCAGGGAATTGGAGACAAATTATGGTTTCCATAGTTCATTCATGGATTCCATACTTGAAGAATTTGAGCAATTTTTGGAAAATTTCACTTTTCGAGAGCCAACAAAACGAATTTTGTCAAATATTAACGGCCAACTTATAAAGCATTTTGATAGCAAATATATGGTGGAACATATGAGAAGCACAATTCGAATCGATAAATGTATCAAAAATTTGGGCAGCGAAATTAAGATAATCATAGAAATTGGTCCAAAAGGAATTCTCGAAAGTTTATTGAAAGATAATCCATGTGAAATTGGAGTAATTTCAACATTACCATCTAAAAAACAATATGAAAAAGGTTATGATACAGGTGACTTGCTCGGTATCGCGACGAAACTATGGATGAAAGGTTATCAGCTAAATTGGGAAAGGATTTGTGGAAATTATAGTTTTGATAAACGTCTTCCAAATTATCAGTTCGAAAAAAATATTTGTTGGGAATATCAAGACAAGAAGTGGAATAGAGAAAGATCTGACGTAAACCTATATGAACCATGCTGGATACCATACAAATTTACAACCCGAAAACGATTTCCGAAAGGAGTTCTATTGTTTTTACCGATTATATGCACAAAGCCAATCAGTACACTTCTTACAGTACTGCATAATCTGTTTGTACCGGTTCAGTGTATTTTCAATGATACTTTCTCAACCGGAAATATAAATGTAATAAATGGCAACATTTATATAAATTCGAATAAAGAAGAATCATATCAGCAATTAGCCAATTTTCTCCGTAATAATAATTTTTACTATGATACTATAATTCATGCATGGAATTTTCCGATAAATTATGGAAAAGAACGAATCGATGATTCTTACTTACTTTCAAGTTTTTATTCCATATATTGGATTTTAACAAATGTTATACAAAATATAACTAATCTAAGATTTCTAGTAAGTATTGATTGGAATGCGGAGCCAGAGATATTCACAATTCTTGGACCAATAAGAGAATTAACAATGACAAGACAATTAACGCAAACTGTTTGTATTCTTTGCACACTGGAAGTTGATTTATTTGAGGCATTACAATTATTTGAATCTTATCAACCAGATTTTTCGTTGATTCGAAATTCAATAAATGGAGAATATGAACATTTTTCCTACCGATTGAAAGAAATTGAAAGCGATAATTACTTTACGAAAAGTTGGAAGAATGACTGTCTTATTCGAAGCGCTGATGTCGTTGTGATTTTTGGATTTGGCAACATTGGGCAATCTTTCATCACTGTTCTTTGTCAAAACTTCGACTTTTTAACGATTTGTATAGCTAGTCCTAATGCTACACGCCATTTTCTAGAATTGCATAATACAATTAACCAATGGAAAAGTTCAAGAAAATTTAGAATGTCGGAAAAAGTTGACGTTACTAATAATCAACATGCAATTCTTGCATACGACGTCGATATAACGAATGAAGAACAAGTACAACATTTCCTGAACCAAATAATGCTGCAGCATGGACAGATCAATGTCATAATCCATGCAGCAGCTGGAAAAATTGACAGTACTAAATTCGAAAAGAGTTTCGATCAAATACAATTTGTATTGCAACCGAAAATTCGAGGTATCCGGAACATAATTGATACTTTGCGCAAAAATGATATTAGTATTCATAGCCTAATCCTTAATTCAAGCCTGAATACATTATTTGGATTACCTGGTAATAATGATTATGCAGCATCAAATATTTTTCTGGATGCATGTTGCAGCAGAAGTTTTCATAACATCCAAAATATCACAACTATACAATGGACTGGTTGGAAAGATAGTAATATGCTTAGCTCGTACGCGAACAAGGAAAATAAAAGTCAGAATCCGGTAACAAACTTTATCATAGAATACTCATTATCAGTGAAAGAAGCTGAACGAATGATATGGAAATGTTTGCATCAACGAGGATTGATTGCTGTATCATCTGTTAGTCCTAATGATATTGTTCATGAAATTCGTAAATTAAATTTTACTGCGAGTGATAAATTCGCTACTATTCCAGTGCAAGAAAATAGCATGGGAAAGAATTGCAGCGATTTAAGAAATATTGTTGCGCAGATTTGGATGGATTATTTGGGTGTTGAACACGTAACCTATCATGATGACTTCTTTCAATTAGGAGGACATTCCTTAAATGGCATGCAAATTGTTTGGGAAATTAATCGTATTATGCAAATTGATTGCAAACTGGATGATCTGTTCCGAAATTCACAATTCGAAAACTTTTTGAAATTTTTGCAAAAATTAATTATTAATAGAAAAGATCGAAAATTTCCATATAATTTGGAAAGTTACAAAATTCTTGATAATACTGGCAAATTGAAAAGGATCCCATTGAGTTATCCGCAGGAAAATATGTACATCTTAAGGCAATTGCAACATCCAACTCTCTACAATATTTCCTTTTTATTAACATTCCAAGAATCACTTTGCATTAAAAGCTTACGAAAAGCGCTACTATTTCTTATTGCGCGACAAACTTCTCTTCGAACCGCATTTTCAGTATCAAATAATGCATGCTATCAGGAAATTCAATCTCTCACTGAGTCCTATTATCATGTAACTTGGCCTAATATGGATGAATGCGAACGTCGAGAGCTGATAAAAAATGAGAAAAATCATATAATGGATCTGAGTAAGATTCCGTTCAGAATATTAGCAATGTGTAGTAATGGGACTGATATGAAGGAAAATAAATACATGATAATGATTAGCCAACATCATATCATTACTGATGGTTGGTCGATGACTATTTTTGCCAATGAATTAGGGCAGCTTTATGGTTACTGCTTAAAAAACCAACATATTCCGAAAAATTTCAAAAGGTTATCCCGGGATGTAACTCATTTCGCAATTTGGCAACGTAGCAACAAATTTACTGAGACAGTACAAAATGATCTTCAACGATTATGTACTAAACTTCAAGGACTTCAAGCAACACGGATTGTCGCGCAGAAGACCACAATTATGGTATCAAAATTAATTAGCCAAAAGACATTCTCAATTCCAGCATCGCTTTGTTCACAAATTAATCGAGTAGCCAAACAATATCAACAAACGGTGTATACAGTAATGCTTACTGCATTCCTATGTCTTGTTCGAAAATTTTCGGATAATTACAGCAACAACACAATTTTAATCGGCTGTCCGGTATCTGGAAGAATAGGTGCAGAAGAAATGAAATCGGTTATGGGTTATTTTTTGAATAACATTATCCTAATTATTAAGGATTTCAAAATGAACGCAACAAACAATGTTCTTTTTGAGCGAGTTAAAAAAGCAATTCAGGAGGCTCGATCGTTTGAGCATTTGCCATTTCACTTATTGGTAGCTAAATTGTCACATCAACGACGACATATTCAGCAACATCCTATTTTCGATATATTTTTTAACTATCGTCATAATCTTGACTTTCCGAAAATCAAAATTTCTGATGTAGGAAATACGATAACACAACTTACCACCAATGATGCATTTGATTTTGCATGTACAATTGATGAAACAGATGGAGGAACATTGATTACCATTGATTACAATGTTAATCAATACTCGATTCAGCTTGTCGATGACATGATTGCAGTTTATTTTAAATTGCTAAAATCTCTTAGTGGCCAATCTGATAGCGGAAAAAAAGTAATGAATGATTTAAGATGTAAAACTCATCATGATATATTATCAGGAAGTGTCATTGATATAATTGAGCAACAATCTGTGCTTAGTGATAAGCTTACTGCTTTTTGCTATTTACACCAAATAATTACTTATCGACAAATGCATGATATGATTCATATATTTTCGAACAAAATTAAACAATTTTATTTGCAAAATAATTGTGAGAGCATTCGTGCTGATACAATAATACCGATATGTGCCGATTCAAATGCAATAATAATACCATTACTAGCAGTGCAACTAACTGGTGCAGCATACGCACCTATCGATCCTGCGAATTCTACAACAGTGATCTTACAATTAGTGCAAGATATTGGTGCATCAATCATTATTGTTCAAAAAAATGATTTAGGCTTAAACATTCCTGCATTATCGTTAACTCATTTTTCATCATTGGATTGCCGTCAATCTTGTATTTATGATATAGAAGGATGGAAAACGGACAAAAAAGCAGATAACAGAAAACGTTTACAAAGCTCTGATGCATCATACATCATTTTCACTAGTGGTTCTACCGGAAAACCAAAAGCTGTTTGTGTCACGAATCAGAATCTTCTCAATTTTATATTTACATCAACTCAGCAAGCAACTTTTCGTCCCAAACTTCGCGTCTATCATTCTGTTAACACAATTTTTGATGTAAGTTGCGTGAATATTTTCACAACTTTTTCAAATGGTTGTTGTCTGATTGCATCGCAAAATATTCTGAATGCAACAGTTGAGATTGTTCAGAGAAATGTGAAGTTTGCTTTCTTACCATCGGCTTTATTTAATATGCTTGATGGTGATGAAATTATCCAACTTCAACAGTTGGAAAAGCTATATGTTGGTGGTGAAACACCAAATAATGAGCAACTTAATCGATTTTTACAAGTGGGAATTCGAATTTGTCAAATTTATGGTCCAACGGAAACTACTGTTTGGTCATTATCAAACAATTGTTCTGTATTAGAATATGAATGTGGTCGAGTAATCGGATCACCGTTGAATAATGAAACTGCATATCTTTTAGATCCAGAAAATAATATAACATGCAGTGGTGGGAAAGGTGAATTAGTGATTTGTGGAGAAGGCGTTTCACGCGGATATTTAAATCAGGAAGCAAATGTTTTCACGATCAATAAGTTTCACACTAAAGAAGATGAAATTTTAAGTCGTAACATGTTTTGCTACTATACGGGTGATTTTGCAATGAAACTCGGTGAAAAGTATCATTTCTTAGGACGAAAAGATAAGCAACTTAAGGTACGTGGTTATCGTGTGGAACCTGCGGAAATCGAAACCGTAATAAAACAATGGGATTCGTCAGTTCGAAATATTGCTGTTTTAAAAAATGATCAATTAGACAATTTATTCCTATTCATTGAAAAAGATACCAACAGTCAATACTGTGAAAGATTGCGACAATATCTAAAACAGCATTTGCTTCATTTTATGATACCCAAGAAAATCATTATGTTGCAACGAATGCCATTAAATAAGAGTGGGAAAATTGATATCGGTAAGTTGAAAGAAATGATGAAAAGTGACTATTTGGCTAATAAGGATAATACGACTTCCGGATTTTGTCAATTTAACGAAGCATTATCCGAACAAATACGAGAAATTTGGTGTCAACTGCTTGGAATTTCCAATCCTAAACTTGAGGATGATTTCTTCATAGTCGGCGGACACTCTCTTCTATTGGTGCTTCTTCGATATAAACTTCGTGATAAATTCAAATTTGATCTTAACTTTGAACATTTTTATCGTCAGCCAACATTAGCAGCGCTCATTGATAGTATACATACGAATACGAATGTATACAACGAAGTAACAAATGAGAAAAAAAAAACATATTATCACCTTTGTCAAGACCATATGACCTTACGCTCCCTACCTTTAGCATATTCTATTCCAATGATTCAATCGCCAAGATGTGTAAATCTTCGAGAAACAATATCAGCTACCGGTAATCTTTATATGATACATGCTATCGCCGGTACAATATATCCATACTTTGGTCTACTATCAGCTATACCACAATGCATGAATATTTATGCTATTGAATATGAATTTCACTATCCATCAAACAGTTTAATGGAGCTTGCATCTTTCTATTCCAAACAAGTAAGTAAAATTTTATTTAATCTTTTTCTTTCTTTAAGAGTAAAAGAAAAAGTTATATATCCGTTAATATTCATAAAGCAATTTTAAAAAAGGACGAAAATTTAATCAAAAATAAAAAAGATCAAATTTTCCACATCCTTCACATCCATCATACATCCGCGTTAAATAAATCTTTACATTTTATCCTCCTTATTTTATTTCGTTATTTAACGAATGATTTTCAAATAAGAAAAATTCATCAAAATTTTATTAAATATAAAAAATCTTTTTTTCTTATTTGGGCAATTACTTCTTGATGAAGAATGTTATTTTCAATGCCACTCTTGATCTAATTTCATGAAATACAGTAAAATCATTTAGATCATCAAACATAGCCAAATGAAAGCAATACATTTAATGGGACATTCGTTGGGTGGCATTTTGGCACGTGAAATAGCACAATTACTTAATGTGAATCGCGATAGCGAAGTAACATTTGTTATAATGCTTGATTCGTGGTATATTGGTGTTGGTAATTTACAGGTGAACAATGTCAAGCGTTACCTTCAGGTTCCAACTTTTATTATGCTTCAAACAGGAAAAACTTTTTTGTCATCTGTTTCATATGGACAAATGTAAAGAAGGCATTACATCTTTTTCAGGAAAAATTAAAAGGTTTACCGGATAAAGAGGAATATATGAAGAAATCAGTGAAATTAACTGAAATCCTGCAAAACCATCAATTTTCAGTCAATTCTATCAAAATTTACCTATTGAAAGCAAAGAATCATGGAAATTTCCCCCTCAGAACAAACTTAAGGCAAGTCCATTTGATATATAAGCGATGATAATAAATCTAAGGCGTGACGATGTTTTGTCTCAAATTCTGAAACTAAAGCGATAAGAATTAGCGAAAAAAATAATCCGCGTCACCAATAAAATAGTCAGTATCCCAACTAATAGGTTAATTATTTCTGAAGAGAACCGAAAATGAATAATAAAAAATGACCGAATTTTTTTCTTCAAGGGATTTTTTCTTCATTGTGAATTCTACAACTAGACTAAACCATCTAAAAAAGATCTAAAAATTTATTAACATTCCTCAACAACAAATTGATCTAAAAAGAAATCTGACTGCTTTCTTTCTCCTTTCCACATTTTTCGCATAATTATTTCATAACATTTTTTTTTAGAGGGCCAAATTCCGAAGAGAAAACGCGATCGATGATTTCAAATGGTTGGCAGAAGATTTCCGCGAAGAAGGTGGATATATTTCTGGTGGATGGTGATCACGATTCTATGTTACACCAACATAACATAACCTTTCTGAGCAGCATTTTTGCTTACATTTATACTAAGAACGGAATGCTGGTTGAACAGGCTTGAACGATCCTTCATTTCTTTTCATAATAATTTTACGGCTAATCCCATAGTAGTAAAACAGAATCTTCATTATAACACACATTTTAGTTGCTAAATTGTAGTGCAATATGCACTTGTCATATGTAATGAGCAGAAGTTAATAAATTTGAATAACAGCCAGCAGTTAAAATTTAAGATGTCCATCAAAGATTCACGGTATAATCATCAATATCTATCATTTATTTGATTTAAATTATTTTTCAACTACTTTTATCAGAACCACAGCAATTATTTTTCTAATCAAAGTTAGTCAAAAAACCTCAAATAAGCCTCGAAGAATAATCACACAAAAGTAATTGAAAAGAATTAAAAAAACAAACTTCAAAGTATGACAGAAAACGAGGAATCATTCTGTATATACATAAAATTTCTTAGCACAATTGGAAATATGAATGATGTAACAATCATCCAAGAACTTTTAGAAGATCATTTTCACACATATTAGCATCAAATACGACCTTACTCCATCTGCTTTGCTCAAGTGCTTCGTAAAATTCTTCGCCATTTTGTAATATGTATTCGTTGCTCTGTTCAGCCAATTCATCTTCTACAGGCTCAATACCGCACATTTCGTACGATACAACTGCTCCACCAACTACGCATGAATAGTACTGCTGAAAGAGATTTCACTCTTGAACGGTGCTAATTCAATTCAAATTCGGTTAAATAAGTGTAATCGTCTCATATGAATCATAGAACGTTTTTGCGTAGTATTTATATAATCGCAAGAAATACAGTAGGAATTTTTAAAATACTCATGAAAAGGATACGAAATAAACTCTGGAAAAGTTTATAACAGAAACGGACAGGATAACATTTCGTACAATTCCTAGTTGAACTAGTAGATTTTAATAATATTACCTCGCAAACGGTTTGTTGAGGGGTAGTTCGAGGATGTGTTGGCGGAAGAGTATATGGTACATGATAATTATTCACTGAATGAGCATTTGTTATAGGTGTCGTATTGTACGGATAATAAGACGCCATCGATGTTGGAGACGTTACAGAGGTTACCCCATTATCCTGAAATTGAAATACTAATATGATCCCAACAAATCCAATAATTATATGTAGCTTTCATCATGAAATTTTGGAACTATACTTCGATAAAAACATTTGAATCACATTCATTCATTGAAACTGTACTGTTCAAAAAAAACCTGAGTCGGCAAGTAATTAGTAGTGGTGTCATATCCAGTAACATTATGCTGAACTTGCTGTTGCTGCTGTTGAAGATGACGAGGTTGTCTTGGGGCTCGATATTTCGGCTGTGCCAATTTCAGAATTAACTGCTTGCCATCCACACGATATTTATTCATTTCTAGCTGAAAATGTTCAACATATAGTTGAAAAGCTCTCGTTCTATCACAATAGCTAATAGCTTATCTCTTTCAGGATTCCAACATTTTTTGAAGCGGAATAAATTTAAATACTTATTACCAATGCTCTCTGCTGATCAGTTTGATCGGAAAATCGTACGAAGCCTAAACCTTTTGAGGTTCCATCCGTGTTTCGGTATACTTTCGCCCCACGACAGGATTCATAACGTTCACCAAAAATCTACAACTTGAACAATATCAAAAATGAAATAGATTACTGTAATGCTCGAGAAAGGATTAAAGTTTTCCAGCTGAACTTTGGAGGAGAATTCGAAATCCAGGCAATGTTACAATGAAGCAAAATAGACAACAAAACTAATAGTTCACCAAAAAAAGCGCAGCATCATCCATATCTTGCGGCACATTGTTGACAAACAGATTGTACTCTGTATATCTGAAAATCAAAAAATATTCAAATTTTGCAAAAAATTTAAGGTCAGCATTTCATAGCAGTATGAAATGGTAAGGGCACTAGTAACAACGACCACCATAACCTACAGCAAGCCTCCAAGATACTTTTACATATTAACAATTAAAAAAAAATCGTTATTACAGGCACCAAAAGAATTATTTCCAAATTTTTTCGCCAAAAATACCCAGTTTTGATTCCAATTCTATGTACAGAAAAGGAAGATTATTATCTAAAAAAACATATTCATCTAAACTAACGGCGCATTTGGAGAATTAGCAAAAGAAAGATTGAATGCTGCACATGGTTTCGATTTCGGAATAATTTTTCCATTAATGTGTAACATCGCACGGCGAGCCGAATCGCGATCAGCAAATTCAATGAAACAGTAGCCAGCTTGCTGAAATCTTTATATTCGATAGATGAAAATTTATCATTCTCTGTTAGATAGAATAGCAGCTTACGGATCGGTAAGAGATCTATTTATTCGGCGATCGAATGTTTGGTGGATCACATCGTGATTACAGTAATAGGGGAATATTGAAGATGATTAACATGAAAGAATCACGAGAAATTTTCAGCGTCTAGGACTAAAGGAATAAAGTCGAATATAATGCAGCTAACAGGAAATATTTAGATATACACTATGGATTGCACCTTTAACAGGGATAAAGCAGTGATGCACAAATATTCCTGTTCTTAGATAAATAAGACAGTTTGGGTAATTGAGAATGAAATAAGGGAAGACTAATTCTTCATTTCAATTATTCATCATTCCTGATCTATAAAATTTTATCATTCGTGGATTTAAATATGTTCTTTAAATTGTTTATTGATTTTGAAACTCAAAAGAGAACCATTGGTCTTGATAATGTCGCTGTTTATGACAGTAAATAATCATAACCTTTCCGCTGTGCTTATCGAAAACAATCTTCACATTAGTTACTTCTTCACCCATTCGAGCGAACGCTTCTGCTATGAACGCCTGATCCCAATCAGGACTCAAATCACCCATCCATAGAGTGCGATCTGTATCATCATTCGGTCGAGATATTTGATATGCCATGCGTTGTAATCTAAAAAATATTCTTACAAAAATTATCCTCTAACGGATATTTGCCAAATCAGTAATTCTTTTCAATCCTCTTACTGCTCTACGGACAGTTCTGCAAAAAATATTTGAAAAATATACGCAAGAACTAGGAATTCCAACTCATTGGAAGATTAGTATCATATGAGGCTTTACTATGCAACCTAACAAAAAAAGGAAAAAAATTTATACAGAACTCAACTACACTTAAATAAAGCAAAGTTATATGTTGGCAAAAATTAACTTAGTAATCTTAATTTCATTTAAAAAACCGTTCAGTCCTTTAACCCAAAACATCCGATACAAATCAAAAAGAAATAAACTTACAACCATCTGAAAAATTTTATCAAACTGAAGTTTTCTTTCTGTAAGAAGTATTGAATTCTGATATATTCCACAATGACCAAACGTTTTTAAAACACAAAAGAAATATTATTTACTATCGAAGTAAAGGAAGACAAACTGATTGAAAGAACTGTGAAGTAAAAAAATTATGAGTTTAGCCATCGAAGTGGTAGAATTGGGTGGTTTACAGTGTCACAAAGACAAAAATTTAATAAGGGTCAAATAAATTGACGAGTTTTAGAAGACACAAATTTTAAAACAAAAAGGAAAAACTTCCAACCGCCGGTATTTAAAAAAATTTGCTAGTAATTTATGAAATATTCAGTTTACATTCTTTGATGTAGACAAAATTTCATATCAGTTAACCTCAATTAATATATTTTGTTTCTTTCTCCAATTTGCTAATTTTTTTTGGTACTACGAGTGAACCCATTGCAGTGCTTAGTCAACCTCATTTCATCGATTTATTGTTATTTAATCCTCAACTATTTTTTCAATTTTAAATCTTCACAAACTCCATTTGTGAAATAAAAAAGTAGAAATCTTTGTCAGGAACAAAATCCAATTTCAATGAGAGGGATATTGCATAGAATATGGTCAATTGATTTGGGAGGAAGAAGGGGTGAGAAGTTACTAAAAAACCAAGAAGTAAAAAGCGAAAAAGGAAAATAGCAGAACTTGAAATTATATTTCAAAATTGAATAAACAAGAAAATAAATAGAATGGTGATTATAGAACAATCAGCAGAAAAATACTTGGAGTTCGCGTAAAAAATATTTGCTTCCTTTTAACAACTGGATAAAATTGGCAAGAAGATGAATTAAATCATATATGGATAAAACAACCAACCTTAGAATCAAAACAAAATACAAATCAACGTAAAATGTATTATATAATAACGGCAAAATAAAATACACCTATAAAATAACAAAAACGGAACAATTTGTGAGAAAGGCTTTTCGAATAAGCGAATAACAAATGCCACCGAAGAAAGTACAAGTCATAATGCTGAATAGAAAAATTCGGCAACAGCTTTCGATAATTTACACTCGCATGTAACTCGCATGTAGAACACTGGACTGAATTTCGGAATTGTCATTTATTCCACATTTTAAATTTAAAGAAATTTAAAATATAAAACAAATAACAAGCGAACGGTGTAAATATCTTAAAGAGTCTAATACTGTGAATGAATAAAATTTCAAGAAAGAATTGGAAATATCACATAAAGAAGGACTGCATATAAGATGTTCACACATAAATAAATATACAATGATAAAAGAGAAATGTTGCTTCCTGTGTGTTCCAAATTGATCAAATCTCATTTTCAGAAAAACAGTAAGATTTGCCAGAATGTTTTAACAGATTTCTCTGTTCGTTTTTCCCCTATAAAATAAAGCAATAAAAATTAAAGAAATGAAAATAAAATCAAAGTCAACCTACGCTCAGTTTGTCAAGAAATACAATATTCCCCAATTTGTGTTAGACGAGCTGATTCTAGCATTCCTCACACACGTGCTTATTTCTTATTTCAACGCCATACGTTAGTTTTGATTAATAAGAATTGGAAAAGTAAAGCCATATTGCTGTTTATTACCGTTAAAACGACTCATAGTCTTGTAAAAAGGTTATAATCTTAAAGTGATTTTAATTATTGAAATATGCTAGGTAACGATGCCAAACCGGAAAGCCGAACCGCAATTAACTCAGATAAAAGTTAAAAGTAAAAACTTGTCCGATGAGGTTGACAGATTTCTAATTATAAAAAGCAGCAGTAGAATAGAACACATCAAGTGAAGAGAGGAATAAATAATGAAAATAATAAAAAGTTTCGCCCCACAATTTGGCAACTATAAAGAAAAACGAAGACGGATACGTAAACTCGACTTTAAAAAATACTACCTATGACACAGATGTTTTTAAACGGGAGAGACAAGACATAATTGTTTTTAAGCGGGAGCGACAAAACATATCACTTAAATGTTAGCAAATCCATCTCTTAGCAACTATTTCATTCAAACTGAATTTCGAAAACACAACAAAACAATTCCACACAATTTTTCGCAAAAAAAGATTTTAGTTTTTTACAGTAATAAAAAACTGCCACTACAACCCGGTTATAGAGCAGCAAGAAACGTATTACGAATATTAAACATGAATCAAACCTAAAAAAAGTCTTCGAGTATGAATCAGTGTTAAAAACATTCATGTTTACCGATTCGATGCCACTTATTCAGCAATTTCAGCCTCCTTTGGCAATAAAGCAGTATGAACACTGAACGGACTTTCTGTGGATGCTTCGTTATCATCTGGAACATCGTAATTGGTGAAAAAATGAACTTTGAATGTCATACAGAAAATTTTGCCGAAAAATTTTAGGTACTTCATTTATGAAATATCATAAAAATAACTCATAGAAATTTACCAGGCATTGAGGGTATAAAGCCAAAACTGGCAGGAGCAGGTACTGGCGGCAAAACCGGGACAGCATGAGTCGCCGGCTTTGAAGATGATGTTTCAATGAGTGGGTTGAAATACCTCGACCCTGAAAAATTATAACACGTTTAGACGTACGCAAATGAAACTGATTGCTTCTGCTGTATATTTAATATATATAAATAAATGATTGGGAATATCTGCTGGAGAAATACACAATTTATCCAAAATACGATGAGACGATAAAAACAATGCAAACAGCAATAGTTAAAGTTATATTCTATTTTTATTAAAGAAAAAATTACCACCACTTAGTCGAGCAGCAACTAATCCACCAACGTTACCATGTGTCGACCCATGTACGTTTTCCGAACTTGGTGTAACCGACGGTGGTGGTTCCGGGACAGATTCTTCCCCAACTCCTTCACCAACATACCTATTGAGTTTCGGATCCCATATAATCTGTAATTTCAAAAAATTCTATTTCAAAAATTTTTTTTCAAAAAAATTCAAAAAAAAAAATTTTTTTCAAAAAAATTCCAATTTAACAAAGGGTAATGAAACATTATTATACAATACCGATGGATGTTTGTCGTCGGGAAGAATCATTTCATTGCTTGATGGGATTGCTTTTGCAATCGTTGCTTTTAGCTTTGAAAATAGTCCCGAATTCTGACGATGATCATTTACAATTTTCTCCTCACTATGTGTCTAAATGTCACGCTATATCATTTTAAATATTAGAACTTGAAAAAAACATAGTTTCATTGGTTAATTTAATTAAAAGAAAGTTGAGGAAAAATCCTTTAACCTTTTCATCCTTTTTAACCATATCTGACTGTTGCTGGGAAGAAAACGAAGGTTCTAGAAAAAAAGGAAAATGAATAAATATAAAAGCGGTAGTTCAGATATCTAAGGAATACATGAATGAAATATTTAGCACTAAAATACCTGTTATAAAATTTGGGTATTGATTTGCGCCTGGATTTAGGGTTGCTGGTGGCATGTGGTCAGATTGTAATGTTCCCTTAATCTGGTTTTCTGTTGATAGAATAGATGCCATTCTGTTTGGGACTCTTTCTTCCTAAGATAAGATTATAGTGTTAAGTTAATTGCATCAATTAAAACGGAAAAAAAGAAAGATAAGACAACATTTACCAAACCTTTCCATGGGGAGTATTTTCATGACTATTTGTAGACGTGCTATCTGTTGTACATTCCACTGCTACTTCGCTGTCTGCTTCTTTCAAATCAGTTTGCTGTTCCATTTTCAAGAATTTCCACTTATAGGTACCATCATTATAATAACTTTGCAATGTTTCATGTGAAATTTGTTCTTTAGGTTGCAGCAACGGAGGCGAAACAGTTGTTGCATGAGTTGTAATGCCACCTTCCGCAGAATGTTTCGCACTAGCTGACAAGACTGGAAGGTGTGTGGTGTACTGAAAATTATAAGATCTAATATCCAACACAATGTAAGGATAAACATGCTATCACAATGATGCTAATAACTTAATTCAAGACTAAAATCTAAAATACTTAATATTCATCGTCTCTTACTCTACTTTCATTTTGATCACCAAGGAAGAATCAATCATAAAAATTATGAAAGAGCAGATAAAGTAATATAACAATTCAAAACAGAAACTCAAAGCACTAAAAATTGCACTTGAGAAGTATTTACCGATGCGTTTGTATTACTGCATGTTCTATCCATTTCTCGTAGTTGTCCCGTCTGCATGCGACATTCTGAAATGTAAGTAGCATTGTCTGCAACTCTACGTAACAAATGAAAATGGTGAAGATTTATAGGCAGGTTCGACTTCAATAATTTTCTTTCCGCAGCAAAAAAATGAGGAAGAGTAAATGAGAAAGTAACATCGAAGGCAGTCTAAATGATTAATTGAGGAAATAAAAATACTAAAGAGTTTGCTCTACCATAAAAACATAGCAGAGTCTAGAACGACTTAAATATATTTAATAGACTTAAATATATGTCGGCATAAAATATATCTTTGAAGAACAACAAATTGCTGACCGAATTCGTTTCTTCTAATGGTATAAAATTTAACCGTTAATTCCAGGCTTTCGATTTTCTGTTTCGTTCTGCTTATCAGGGACTGCTAAAATCGTAACTGCTTCCTGTTCAATATGTCTTTCAATCGTCTCAGAGCATGATACTGTTGTACTGCAACAATAATCAAGGAATAATTTCTTATGGATAAAATACAACTTATGAGTTTTAGAAACAAATAAATTCCTTAATATAAACAAAAGTATAGAAAAAAACTTGCTTAGCGAAGTCATTCTGCTGGACACCATTTTCAAAGAAATTTCCAGTCGTTTTGGTCTAAAGTGATGATTGACTTTTATATTTCTAAATAAATGTACAAGAAACCAATTAAAATTTCAACTTTTTGAAGAACTGTTAAAGAGTACGGTTACTACCCAAGAAAAAAAGCTTGTGCAAAAAAAAATTCAGGAAAAAAAGAATTACTTGTGGTGATAGTTCTGGTGCCATGACTAGACCAACACTTTCGGTATCATGATCGACAACTGCCGTAACATCATCTTGTACTACTTTCTTTTCATCAGTTACTTTTTGCTGCTTATCTATGAAAGATCGCAAAGCCGGAAGCCAGACCGTACTATTTGCATCTGTGGATGCCACAAATTTCAGACTACAAATATGCTAATAAATAAATATTAGGTTAACAGACAAATAAAAGAATAAATATGATGATCAAATATATTTATAATCCAATTTAAGACTCCGACATCGATTAACGTGCAAAAAATTTTTAAACTAGAAACTTCCAGCACCTCGGCAGAAAAAAGACTTGTATTATTTTATTTCCTTGTCCTTTATGCGTTTTAAAGACATCCCCTTGTAACATAGAAACATACACAAATTAATATGAAAGGAATGATTTTGAAGTTTACAGATGAGACAAATGAGACAGGAAAAATGTATACACACCGCTCAGCAAGTTCGTAAAGCCGTTCAAGTTGTTCGATTTCGATTTCATGACGTCTGTCCCAAATTTCCTTCGCAATTTCAACGCAGTATCGGAAAGCGTCTCTCGAAGAATTCCCAAATTCCGCAACCATTTCTGCATAATCCAGACGAGACAACTGATATGCAACTGATGCGTTGAAATTCATTGGAATACCATTGTTGGCCAATTTTGTGGCATATTGAAAAATTTCCGTAGCATGTAAATCTATTATCGAGAAGCTGAAATTTGACGCAATACGCAATGTGGAGGAACACTGAAGAAGAAATGATAATGGTTCCGCTGAAAGAAGAAATGATAATAGTTCCGCTGAAGAGGTGCTTCAGGTAACGAATAGAAAAGTTAGTGAAGATGCCATTTTTGGGAAGGATTGTGTGCAAGTTCCTATGAAATATTCTTGCAGATAGAAGGAGGAAAACAGAATTTTACCCTTTTGAAAATCCGAAATTCATTTCTGTTGGCAAAGTCGCATGAATAAGTGTTATGTGCCGACGAACATCTGCATTCGTATCTTCGCTGAAAATCTTTTTTAACAATTGTGAAATCTTTAATAAAACCACTGAGAATAAAAAATTTTAATATTTCGAAAGAAAAACAGTAATAAAAAAGGACCTCCTAGGTACCGGTTCGAATGGATTATAGGTAGGTATCAAAAGGCTGACTGCTAGAAAGCAAAAATCAGCCGCAGCATGTAATCCACGATGAGAAAGTACGCAACCAAGTTGGTATACTGTTCCAAGAGCTGTTGGAGTATTTAAATTGGCCAGCACTACAGCTGCATGTGAACGCCAGCTACTGGCTTCATCCATCGGTGGACTTGTCTAAAAAAACGTTTTTTATCCACAATAGATGATTTATTCAGATATCCACAGTGATAATTTTCAGTCCATTTATTCATTTTCCATGATATGCGTACACAATTTAAAACAGATTTATTGAATCTTCTAACAATTTGAAGTCAATGGCATTCGGAACATTAAACAAATAAATGACTACAAAAACGACGAAGCTTACCAAAACCGGAGCCGGTTGTCCATTCGCAACTGAAAGAAGGGTCATTACAGGATTTAATTCTGATCGATGCGACAAAAAGTTTGCTTCGATTTTTTCAAGTTCTTGCGGTTCATTGGAACACATACGACGTGCCAGAATCATTGCATCCGAATACAGTCCATCCCTCACCGCACTTTCAAGAGCTTCCTGCAAGAAAAAAATAAGTTCTTCTTATTACAAACTTGAAATACCAGATGAATATTATGTCCGTTGACATTTTAATGAGGAAGATAAAAATCTTTAAGTTACAAGGAATCTAAAAATTTAGCATAACCCAGATACAAACATCAAGAGAAATGTGGAAAATACGAAACCACAAGTACCTGTATCTAGAAAACTCGAGCATTATCAAAAAACCAAACTTTTCTCGGTTTCTAATAGCTAGTTTTGAGACAAAGGATGATGTATTAAACTAACTTTAATGTGCCCGCCTAGAAGAAGTTGTGTGAAACGATCATATGCCTTGGGATCCACAGAACGTTCATTGAAGTTTGCAGAAGTACGAAGGCTTGATTTTTCTTTGACATGTCGTTGCTGCTCCGACATATCACAAACAGCCATTAATAACCGTGCCAAATCCGGACCCGTTACCCGCTAAATCATCATTTACATTAATGCAATATTATTTTCGCTATTCAAACGAAAAGAAAGATAACATATTAATTCAAAATCAAAAGCATACCCCTTGTTGCTGCACAAGCATTTCCAAAAGTTGCCATATTAAAAGACAGTCATTTTCTAAGCTATTTGATGGATTTAAAAGATAAGCTTCCGATTTTAGAATAAGTTCAATTTGACGCTGCACATAAAGATGTACGGAATGGGTTGGAGTAAATCCAGCAATAAGAGGACCTAAAAAATTAGCAATTACATAAGAAATCCAAATACAAGAAAACAGCAAACAGATATTTTTCCATTACTGAAATTAGTTGTGTAGTGAAGAGCTGATTAAAGTTTAATATGAATTATTGTCAGTTTTCCACAATTCAAAGTGAAAATGATTTGGTAACTGACTAGAAGAAGGTTCTGAACGAACATCTTGAGAGGTGCTTACGATTACAATCCTAAACCATTTTATTAATTGATCTAGGGATAGGTATTGGGAAAAGTTGAAAGGAAACATCAAAACAAACCTCGAAATGATTCAATGGCATTCGAAATACGCAGCAGATTATGACTACCAAACAAACTTTTCAGATCACGTATTTCTATGACACTTTCCGAATTCTGAACATTCAGCATGATTACCTTCCCACCGACACCAAATCTTAGAAATGAATGCGGAACACGGAATTTCATCGGTTCTGGAACAAGTAGACGACGATTTAGGAAACCCTATTTTGAAAATAAAATCAATCATCGGATTTCGAAAATGAAATCAAATTAAAAATCACGTCAATAAAATAAAGTGAACGCAGAAAAAAAAGAGATAGATTTCATAATAAGCAAAGCTTAAATCTAATTTTTGATAAGCGAACCTTTAGCAGCAGAATCAATGCTCACTTGATCACTGTCATCTTCAGCATCGCATCGGCTTCCCCGTTCACTTTGCCTCAAAAATTGAAGACGCATAAGGAAATCAAAACACTTTTAAAAAAGCCAAAAAGGAGAGATGAAAGTTTTCATCAGCCAAGTGCATAAATAATAGTATATATACCAAAAATGAAATGAATTTCAAAAATTCGACTGGATCAGCTTTGCGGCAAATGTCTCATAAATGAAAAATCCCAAGAAATCATTTGACTTATAATTTTTCGACTTGCTTATCCTATGCAAAAAAAAATTGGAAGATGAAGTCGCACAACCAAATTCTTAACATCCAATCAGCACTGTAACTTTAGGAAATCTAATTTAGAGCCTCGTGATTAGTACAATAACAGCTATTTTGAAAGTTTTATCACATTTATACAAGTATGTTCACTAACATTGTTCCATCTGCGCAAAACAACAACCAACGGTATTTTGTTTGCATAAAAGTGACTTTTTCAGCTCAACTTCGCATAAATATGAAGAAGTAATGTCTAGGATGCCAACCACAGACGCAATTATTTGAAGATCTACGGTTTACAAAATAACTCCACATTTAAGAAATAGAAAAATAATATGAAGTACCTGCTGTCAAGTGTTTCATGCTCATCGCTGAATAGCTGTTTCTGGGACATTTCATAGGCCTTCAATTGATTTACAGAACGCTTAGCTATATATTCTTCTTGTGTATGTTTGCAGATCTGAAGCATCATCGAGTAAATCACTGCGAATAGTCAAAGTAAAATAATAAATTCCTTACGATAGTAAGTTTACCTTCCAAAGCGCAACTTCTGCTGAATCTCCTTCACATACGTAGCTAAAATATTCTCGGTTGAATTTTTTATGAAACAAATCCACTGGGATATAATGATGACGATATAGAGCACAGTAAAACAAATAAGCCGCCTTTTCTATTGCAGGTAGTTCGAAGTATTCTGGAGGTGGCGGCAATCTGCGCATTATATACTCCACGCGTTCCTTAAATGTTTATTTAGGATCTTGTGTCCTCTGTTGTATGAAAGTAATATGATCACTGCTTCCTTAACTTTCTAATATCAACCAAACTTTATATTACAGGCAGACTTTCAACCTCTTTGTCTTCTCACTTTATTGAATTATCAAAACTCACTCTACCTGTGGTAACTGTATCACACCGAAATAGTAAAACTCATTTGGAGCTGTGAAATGCATTGCATTGTGACGCACCACAGCAGCTCGTCGTGCCTGAAGAAAATTTATTCAAAAATCATTCAAGTTGGTGTATGCCATATCAGTGATAACTTTAAGTTACAAAGAGGCAATCATTTTCTTGATATACCCAAACTATTTCCGGTGCCAATACTTTATATGTATCATGCTGAATATGAAAGCAATTTGAACAGACAAAAAGTGACTGCGAATGTAAAATCGACTGATATTTTAACCATACCATTTCCTGTTCACTATGGATTCGTGCCATTTCACTATCACTTCCACTACTTTCTTCCCCACTTAAGATCGAATGTTCCCCTCCATCATTTTGATGAGAGTTCTGAGCGAATTCATTTAACTGTTGATATCTACAGCCAGTGATAACATTTTAATGTTAAACGACAATAATTTACAGGAAAAAATTCAGTCTTGATATTCTAATACAAAATGAAAATTGCAACGCATAAGCAACATTGCTGCTTTTCAAGATACGAATCTTAAAAGCCTACCTTGGGAAAAGTTACTCTGGAGCAGTAAAACAAGAAGACTCAAAATATACATTGATTAAATTGAGTTAACTGTAACGTAATGGATCATAACCATGCATATTGTAGAAATAATAAAAAATGGTTGAAATTAAGGATCATGCACAACTTTCAGACTCAAAAATTGAATAAAAAACGGGAAAAAAAGATACTTCAAATGTGGCGCATCGAATGAAGATGGGGGTCGGCGTACCAGATCATCGTACATTATCGCTAATTCATGAGCTGCACGTCGTCCAAGATGTGGTCCCAAAGACTGCCTGCCACTTGGATAATACCTGCGTAGCATTATAGATTTAATGATATATTACCACATGCACAAATTTAACGAATCGAAATCTTCAATACCACGGTCTAACCCAGACCAATATTTTTCATGGTTTCTATAAAATTCAAAACCTCGCTCTTCTCAAATAACAGAAATTCAACAACTTACTCGTACTGGTAACCGGCTGAAGAATGATAGCCATATGTATTCTGCATCATTTGCTTATGCTTGATAAGTGCAGGACCTCTATATGGTCCTATCTCGCCCATCTCTGATTTAGTGCCACGTAATGAAAAATAATCATGTTCTCGAGTACGAGCATGGCGATTTCTTCAAAAGAAATAACATCATAACATTCCCATCTTCAGTCCTATTATAATACCATCCAAACTTATGACTATGAAAAATATAAAAGTGGAATCTTACCGACGAAGTGAATTGACGAAGTCCTCCCCGTAACAGACATCGTTTTTTGTAGAACTATCTTCAGAGCTCATGCGGTCGGGAAACGTATATGAATGATTCACTATAAAACGACGGAACTTAGGCAGAAGAAATGTTGCTCTGAAGATGTTGGATTCGTTGGATTCGTAGTAAACATACATTAAGAATCAATCAAGCAAATATGATTACTTTTGGAAGGAGGTCGAGAATCCGACGTCGGTTCAACATTCTTCGAATTCGTACTAACGTTGGAATTAAAACCAATTGCTGCTGAATTCTTATATTTCCTGTTCGGTATCCTAAAATGCAACCAACAATACAACTAGCAGTATATTTATTACTGTATACGATTTCCGACAGACCCAACCTTGATATTTCATGACGATGTAAACGTGGTAGTAGCCATGAAACACAGAAACGGGAAAGAATTTAGGGGTGAAAATGTAAAAAAGCACTGCAGTATGTCAGTCATTGGTAACAAGTGGTCCGAACGGCTGAGACTCTCAGGAAATTCCGTAAATACGATATATATAATTAATAAAATGGTCATCATTGAACGATTAGACAGTATTGACATAATAAATTAGTTTCGAAAGATTAAAAATTCTCTATATTACATACGATTTATGAGAACTTTCGTCGATTTCTAGTAATGAAGCTTTCTGCATCGGACGACAATCCAAGTTATGAGTTTCCATTCTCAAACGATCCAATCGTCTGATCACTTCCGGATATCTTGAAATGACGTAAACGATCGAAGTAAATAAACAGTCTAAACAAATCCGAAATACGAAACTAACCTTCAAATTTTCTCATTTGAATAAAGGAAATTTCTTACGCTAATGAAAAAAGATGAATGGAAACAAAAACAGACTGTTGGCGAATAATGCGATATCGGTCTCGAACATTTTTTGAATCCTTATGCTTTTCAGTAGTTCTACTATGGGAATCTTCAGGTGCAGCTAAATCCGTGGATTGTTCTGCCGATGATATCGCAGTGTTCTGTTTCTTATCGTCCTGAAAACAAAACAACATGCGGAGAAGAGAAAATAGCTATATAATCGTTATAAATTGCGCTGTATCAGAAGGCATAAGACGTCTAGATTCTCATTGTAAACCCATCTTTCATCAAAATCAAAAAAAAAAGATCGAATACCGCGCATTACCTATCGAAAGAAGCAAGATTCAAGCTTAAGTTAGATTAAAAAAAACAATAGAGACCTGATTACCACAAATTTAATGCTAAGATAGATATACTCTTGGTCCGATTTAGAAATATACAAGGCAGAGCACCTTCGTTAAAATTTGTCTCAATGCATTCTGCTGTTGTGTCTCTTGGATGCTGTCAGTTGGAAGTGAATTGGGGACCACATCAATCTCTTTCTTTAGTTGATTAGAAGCACTGTTTATAACCTAAAATGTGCACTATTTCTGTCATTTCAAGATGATTTATTTAACTGAGTCTTTTGTAATTTCTGATAACCTTAATATTTACAGATTGCTGCCTTCCACTTGATGCCATAACACCATCTGGTTGTTGAGAATTTGTTACAAATATGTTGTTCAAAGCAACCTCTGTCCCATCGATAGCAGCAATATTTTGTGTTTCACCAGTTTCTTCAACTAGTAATGGAGTACTGCGAGTACTTGCAACAGATGCGAGTGAAGGCATCTGCGGGTTAGGAACGACTGGTTGCAATGTTGGAACAACACGATTCACCGAGAGTCCTGAAATTACATAACTTCAAAACAGAAGATAAAAATCATTCGAAGAAAAGTCAGTGAGATAATAGCGCACTTAACGGAGTCCACAAGTGAGTAATGACATCCAAAAACCAGCTTATAGTACCAACTCTTAACCTTACATCATCGCCGACCAGACTATTGACTGTTGTAGGTTTCATAAATAATTGAAAGGTGTCAGGTAGTGAGTGAAAGCAACTGAAATAAAAATTTACCGAAGGAGTCGTGATTAGAAATAGGACCAACGCGGGCAATGTTTGCAGCAGAAGAAATAGCTGCTGGGAATGTTTGATTAGAGGGCAAAACATTAGCAGTAAGCGATGTCTCTGTCGCGGTAGCAATGGATGTTGCTATCATAGGGACGACCTGAGCTACTGCTACTACTGGTACATTGCTTTCAGTCTGAAAAATTCAGTCAATAATATCTATTCTACCCGATTTCATCCTTCTAATAACCTTCTGAACGATTTTCAACGTTCCTATGGAAGTAGAAAACATTTACTGCTTACCTCGCTTATTACTTGCTGCTTTTCTTCTGGTTGCAATGTATCTGTCGCCATATTATCTGAAATATTTAATCCCTTCATCCAATGATTGTTTTTCATAATGCATTTGAATTTTATGCAATAATTAGTAAAAATAGCTTTTATTATAAAGACTCTTTTGTAAATCTAATCTAATTAAAGAACCTGAAAAAGGGTAAAATTTTTACTATCATTTTTTCCCATTGCAATATTTGGTATATCTAAAATAAAAAAACAAATTGCAAACTACTGCAAAATAATAAATTAGGGTGCTGATGTTATTTCTTCGACTCATGCAATACTATTATTCCATGCGATTTAAAGAATTACCGATAAAGGAGAACACTTGATATACTTGATACTCACTATCATATTTCGACAATGATTAAGTCTCTAGAGATATGATATGTCAAATTTATACCTTCCGCATCATCACCGGAAACCAGTTCCATTTTTATATGCTGACTATTATATTTTTCATCAATCACTTTCTGCAAAAGAATTTCTTTAAATAACAGTTGGAATTTTTTACATAACTGTATATTTCATTCCAAATAAATTTTAATTTAATATTAATAAACCGGAAATTTTTGACAATGACGAACTTCTGCATTATGGTTGGCAATGCTTTGCTCAAAGTTCAAAATTGGTTGATGAATACCAAACGAATACTGTACTTGCTCATTTTGCTGTTCATGAATTTCATGTGAAGCCGTTTTTTTCTAAATTTCAGATAAGATTTCGAAAAGAAATCACGAAATTCAAATATAAAATTTTTTGAAAGAACTGTGTAATTCCTTCAGAGTTGAATGCAAATTCTGCTTAAGCAATCCTTTTCCTATAATCAGACCAACCGCAGGAATTTGTTCCAACTGTTGTTGAGTGAAAAATGCGCTGGTACTATTGGGCGTTATCGATGTTTGCCAACTTCTCATATGATCATCGCCACCAGAAGATGCCCGGAAACCTTCAAATGCTGCCGCGCTATATGGATCCATTCCAATTTGCTAAACGAACAGAGTCGCAAATCACACTCTTTTTATATATTTTTAAATCCTCAGTCACATTTATTCCACCATATCTCTGCTTACGGTAGCAAATTAGAAATTACAAAGCAAATCCTTTCCATACTTGGATTAAGCAAATTAATAATGGACCGCTTAATATAAATTTATCGTTATGGATATAACAATTTCGAAGAATTATACTATGAGGTTTTATAAATGCTTAATTTTTTAACAATGGATAATAGTACAGGAAATTTCTTGTTGAGTAACACGAGTGCAAGAAGGATATACAGCATCTAGATGAACTGCTATGAAAGTGATTAGCCCTGGAAACACTGATGAACCATTAATCGATGAAGAATTCTTTTGAATAAATATGAACTAACATTCTGTTGATCCCACCAGCAGGATTGTTGTTGTTGCAATTCTTCCCTGGTATCATCATTGGTCAACCCAACACAACTCCATTCATCGCCGTCCTTTGCACCGTTCTTTCCTTGCTCCTGTGTATTCGTTTGCAATTGCCAATAAAACTGCGACATCCGCAAGGATGTGCATCAACTGGTCTAAAATTTAACTTTATAATAGAATTCGACAGAGAAGATAAAACACAAAGAAACCAAACGTGAATTTGATAAATATGGGTTTCATAATTTGAATAATACTCACTGTAATTACTTTTTATGATGATCCCAGTTGCAGAAATAATTGAAAAATTGTTCTGAGTTAGCTGTTAATGTTAATTGACAAATTCTAACAAACGAATGGACTGAATAAAAAAAAACATGATTTGATTTCTCTATAAACTCCCGAAAGTTTTACATCTTCTCAATGTTTTTCATAAGTAACTATGCCAACAGTAGAAAATATTAAGTTAAACGATGTAAATGATATATCCACCGGTTTTATTCGAAAAAGATACGCAAAATATTAAAAATGTATACGTGTACATGTACGTATGTATTCACATATATATTCACTTATCCGCAAATTCATATTATAGGAGATATACATTCACTTATCCGCAAATTCATATATTAAAACAAATGACCTGTTTTGCATCACAAACTGAACTTATCATCAAATTCTTTAAAGCAAGATGAGAAATCTCCACAAAGCGAAGAAATGGTAAATCGATGATGAAAACTTCGCACAAAACAATGGTTGTTTCCGGCATAAAGTAGAAATCCCAACCAGGAAAACGGTGAAAATTTCAGCTATAATAGTGGCAACTACACCTCTCATTTATATTACAAAATGGAAGAATAATAAAAAGAAGAATAAAGTAATGGAAAAAAAAATATGTGAATTATAAGTTACTGCCTGGCATGAATAATGCCAATGAAGAAAAAACGGGAGCTGCAAACGCAGCAAACGTAATATGATTGTAAAGTCACCACAGATGTTCATTTCCGTTCATAGTAGGTGGATGCAACACTGACGCGATATACCTACTAGTCAAGAGCGTCTGTCACATAGTATGCTTATGAAAATGAAGCAAACAACACGTTCTTCTGGTCATATTTCGTTAGAATCAATAGGACTTTTTTGGAAAACTGCGTCATACCTCAACGTGAGACGTACATATACACTTTCTAACGTGAGCTACGCTTCATACGTTTATAACTGAGAGCACGAAATATCGAAACAAAAGCTAGAAAATCAACACATTAGCAACACATCGATAACTGGTCGACCATCGACAATGATACAACTCGCATTCCGCTTCTTCAGTGTGCCGGTATTTCGCGGACAGCTGTGTGCGAATTCCCGTGTTGGACGGGTTTTTGTCTTGAAGTTGAGGATGTGGAGTGTGTGCGTATTTATATGAGAGACTTGTTGATTGACTGTTTTGCGGTAAGACTAGATTAATTTTGTGTCCTACTAATATGGAAATTGCCTTAGATTTTACTGTTTTATAGTTTTCCGATTAGTCGTTTCCTGGCTGCATTTTGTTCTTTTTAGGATCAATGATGAGCGATGCAATACCGCCAGAAGTTGTTGAACAATTGCGGAGGTTTCACGAAGCACTAACAATTCTAGAAGACACTTACCAGAAGCATTTTTCGAATTCTCTAGAAGCGAACACGCAGGTTTCTTACTGTCCTTCCAAGCTTTCATCAGTGATACATATATAATGCTCAAATCGATTATTTGCCTAATTGTTGAAGTTTCACATGACAAGCTGATATTACGGCTCATTTATCGCTTGCTTCTATTGCCTTGTTCTTTTATTGCCTTCCATGCCTCTCTTTACTCATCATTATTAGGCAGTGGATCGTGATATTTTATCCTTCATATTCACTAGATATCAGTTAGCCCTACCAAGATTCTTCGCTCATGTGGTGAATGCATTGATTCCCGGAATACATTTATGAGGGGCAAACTGTCTTAACTGTCATTAAATTTCCTTTAAATCAGTTTAGTGACTGCCTTTATTCAGTTTGTGGAGATTGTATCTTCTCTACTACATATGATAGGTTTCTCTGTTCATTACGCTAGAGATGCGTCTTTGTTGATAAGTCGGACCTCTTGACTTACTGAATCTGGATTACGCCCTGTTTTGACTTTTTTTTATTTTTCTTCCATTACTTTCCCCTTCGTCTTTTTCGTATCTCTTTTCATCTGATAGCTGATAGCCTCGGTTCATTTCTTAGTAATCGACAGATATAATTTTTAATTATTACGAGCACTTCTCTGAAAAAAATTTTGTTATTTGGATCTTTTTACATTAGATTTTCACATTGAGCAAATTTTAGAGGCCACCGCTAGAAAAATTAGAAATTGATTTGATGTCCGTGTTCGTGATTAATTCACTATACTGGATGCTTCTATGTACACATGGACAGAAACCAAAGGATAACGAGCTTCTGCAAAATGAAATTGTTAGTGATTTGCTATCAATTTTTATCAACTTTCTGTAAAAGTATTGAGAACTTCATCATCATTGCTTATTTATAGTTTTGGAAATTGCTTCAAAGCTTTTTTCTCCCTTCCTTCTTCCACTTCACATCGCTCTGTAATGTTCAGTTGTTGTGTAGGTACTAACTAGATTATACAATGATGGATAAAAATGAATTTTTTAGAACCGAACGAAGGAATATATGGGACGGTTAAGACAGCTTGAAGAACGAAAAACAGCACCTTGTTTGAATCAGCGGGCGGCGAGAAGCTTTGTGCGAAATGCTTTGTGGGAACCGAAGCAGCAGCAGCGGTCAAACGCACCCAATGTAAGCTTACTTAATCTCGGGTATCACTGGTTCATTGTGGTGGAGGGTTACTTGGTTTGATACGTACCATTATATATGTCGTACTTAGCTAAACCGGAATAAAATCTAGCTCCACTCAAGATAGCTAGGGAAACTACGAATTTCTTCGAGATTTCTTTTCGCTTAAAAAAAGGACTGTGAGAACTATGACGATTGTAGTGAAAGTTTTTCTTTTTTTTTTCTTTTTCAAAAATGGATGAAACGATGAAAAGGCAGATTCACTCGCTAATGATTATATGCATTATACAAGCTTTGAACATTTTAAAAATTTAGCGCTGGAGGTATGTCATGAACGTGATTGATTGCCATAGTGTTTTCATTCATTAACCGCAATAATATTTTAATATCAGCATTTTTATAAGAGAGATGAACAATTTGAAAATGGTGATAATTGTTCGATTTTGCTGGAAGAGGCTGAAATTGACGAGGATCAGATGGAGGAAGATGAGACCCTTGTAAATTCACCTCCAGTGAAAAGTGTTACGAAACGATCACCTCGAGAAGCGAATATTATGATGGTAGGAGGTATTCCTCCTAAGAAGAAACGGTTGTAATTGTTGATCTCATAGTTTGCATTATTGCTATACCACTGTATTTCGCGTTTTTTTTATTTTTCCGTTGAAAAGAATTTTTTTTAAAGATATGCAGAATTTGTTGAAATAGGACTTTCGTGGATGAAAATTAATTTCGCTGATTATTTGATTGCTTGTTTAGTGGATTTGATTTATATATTCGTTGTAATATGTCAGTGTTTAAATCGTTTAAAACGGTTCATTTTTATACAGGGTTACCATCATAAGATAGATGTATTATTTCAGAATCTCCATTGCCTTTTTGGGTAATTATTTTCTCACCTCGTATACTTTCATAATTTCTTCTGAAAATAAATGAAAAGATTATTATTTATGGGAACTCTGCGGAACAAACCTCCTTAGCAGTCTTACAGGAAAACATTATGAGTTTCCGTCTGAAGGAAATTTTCTTTTAAAAAAAGGTTAGAAAGGACAGTGAAATCTGCGGTCAACTTATATCGGAATTCCCGAATTAAACGTTTGAAAGTGGATGAAGTTATAGATTTACGATTTTTTTATTTTTTGCGATGGGATGATCCGCCACACTGTGTGACGATGAAATCCGTTGAAGTTTACTAGGCAATGTCATGTCTATGATTAATATATGAAATACAACTAATAATTAATCATATTCAGTACATTTTCAATAATAAAAATCATACATACAAAAAAAAGTCGAAGAATAATCGCTCGAGGAGAAAAAAGGTCAAAAAGCAAGTTCTTAGTAATGGTTGTTTTACACATAACCAAATTTGTTTTCACTCCGTAGTGCACAATTATGTAATCAGGAAGCGTTATTATATACGGGAAGGGTCGAATGGCGAAATTATTTCCGTGTAGAAATCTCATATGTTGCTTTTGAACTATATAGAAATAAAAGTTGCAAATTATTACTTTTGTCATTTTTCAATAAAGTTAATGCTTTTAAAAGATATGTATGTGTGCAGGAAATGAATCTCCTCATATTTTTCAAGGATTATTGCACTACGGAATATAATTAGCAGCAATGATGTTAGGTAGAAAAGATTATTAACTAAATGAAATGAATTTCATTTTGCATACAAATGTTATATTTGCATTATGAAACAAGCCTGGAAGACACTTATTCCTGGTTTCATTTATCTCCTCTCTTCAAGATCCTTTGCAGAACGGGCTATTTTTATTGTGCTGTAAAACTTCTCAGTTAAGGTTATCCTATACAAAAAAGAAGTAATTTTAAACCAACCAATAAATGAATACGCAGAAATAATGGAGTTAACTGTACAAAGAATTACATCAAAATACTATTATCATTATTAATTTATGTAAGTGAGAAAAGCGAAATTTTTTTTTACTGCTGATAATAAAATGTTGAACTTACCACATTTTAACATGAAATATTGAATCATTCTTATGATAATAATAATAAAATGACTAAAATAGGAAATTAGATGATCAATGATGTTATAATTAATGTTGCAGATACAAAAAAAGAAAATCATTATTAATTTATGCAAATGAAAACATCATCAACATTGATCATTGATCATCTAATTTCCTATTTTAGTCATTTAATTTCATTTTTTAATCATCTAATTTCCTACTTTAGTCAGGAAGAAATAAAAGGATAAATAATCTTTTATTATTGTACAACATTCATTACAGTGTATGAAGTATATGGCAAAATTTAAAAATCTTCAATTAAATTTTTATTTTGACGGGAAATGAATTGAATCATGTTCACTTCTGATAAATGAAACCAGAAAAGAAAGAAAGAGAAAAGAAAAAAAAAATAAGAAGGATTGTAAAAACAGCTGTATCATAAGACCAAATCACTGCTTTATTTCTGTTAAACTTGTATCACTATCTTTACGAACTGGTCCGGTACCAGCTAGACTTGAACTGTGATATAGCTTGTACCAACCAACCATCGGTTCAGCACTCAATTCTAAATCATCCAATCGGATTTGTGCAACACCCATGAATGATTTTCGTTCCATTCTACCGTAATCAGCCATAACTGTTAACTAAATATTAATTAGTGGTATTATATTTCCTTCATTCATTTTATATTGGTTTAAAATTTGAATAAATCATCTGGTACTACCATTCAGAATAGTGAAAGGTTAAAATGATTTACAACTCTCGTTATTTTTCACTAATTTCAATTAAAATAATTAGACAACCTGAAGCATTTTCTTTCGTGGCGTTTCAGAGAAAACAATATGTTGCTGAAATACTGGTGCAGTGGTCCTTCTTATTGCACGTGTTTTCGCTTTCGCTATGCATTGTTTACCTTCCAATAAAAATACTTTCACATATGAAGCTGAAAAAATTACCCTAAATAAATGGACGAGAATCCTAAAGTTTCCAATAATATATTACTTTATCTTATTAAATATTCAACATGAAGATCTTTTGGCATGATTTTGTTGATTTCATTTTTTGCAAGGTTTTAAAAATTTTGCAAATTTAATTGCACATATGTTTGCAATAACATATAAATCATTTCTTCAGATCAACTCCCATTTTTTGCTATATCAAAGTGAAAATGTATATAAATTACTTTATAACATAATAAAAATAATTAATACCTGGATTAACTTTTACACCTGGCTTGACCACAAGATTTTTAGCACTAATAATTTCGACATCAATGCCTGCTCTACCTGTCGCTATACTGATTTGTATTTCGCCAAGCACTGGACTTGCTAAAACTTGTCGGCCCACAACCTGTAAATTATAATCAATTATATCATTACAATTAGTCCAATCAATTTTCTGTTCCATTGCGGCAATAGTGAGTCGTCACTGCTTACACAAAAGATATAAAGTAACTGCAAATGAAAGAACTAATTTACCTGGCCAGGTCCTAAACTATCAACAAAACTGCCCAGTGGACCATCGGTCAAAATAGGTCCCCAACTGAAATAAGAACAAAATTTATACACATCGTTCAATTGATAATTTCCATTAACATATGCATGTATTCATACTTCATGTCATAGAATAATTGACCAATTATTTGTAATAATGCAAAATAACATGGCCTCTGACTTATTTGATTATACTGATTTTATTTCTATTTGCAACTTCAGGTACATTACTCTTTTAAATTTATCTATTACCAACATTTAAATTTACGTTTAATTGAGCAAGTAAAGCAAGAATCACGGCAAATAAACTAACTTATCACTGTGAGATGAATCAGTTGATTCCTTTGAAGTTTGCTTCATGAAAGGAGTTTGAAGATAATCACCGGATACGGTTAAACCTTCCGGTACACCTACTTCTTCTGATCGTTGAAATCCTGTTCTTTTGACTTCTCCAAAAGTAATGAAAGCAATGAAAAAAAGTTTCAAACATTTTAAAAGAAGCTTATGCATTTTAAAAATTGACAATTTATTCAAATTGATTATTATTTATAAAGTAAGCAAAAAATTGTATTAAAAGTGTGATAACATTTTTGAATGTTTTCACATTTTTCATACAACTTTTTGCTCATTCAAAAATGAAAAGACATAATGAAAGAAAAGTAATGACTTGAGATAGCATCGTTCTCAATTCATAATATTGATTACTGACAAGTATAATTTATCATCAGATCTTTCAAAATGTCTTATCAGCTTGTTAATATGTCCAGGAAGCTCACCAAGTGGAGCATTTCTGCCCGGAATAAGCCTTGTCATCAAACTTTTCTTCCGATCCTTGATAGCTGTCGCAACGTTTCCTTTAGCCACCACAGAATCACTTACAGCTCCTTCTTCGATATATTCTTCCCCGTTATCATCCATTTGTTGATTCATACTTACCTGCTCACTTTCACCGTTAGTTATACGTCGCGTTGGCTGCCTTCATAAAAAAAAAAAACGAAAAAGATGAATTTAAATTTAGAATCATTTGAACTATTCATTACAAATAATTCATACTTATTAAAATATAAATTATTCAAGATCTTATGCAAAGATGGTTTCACATTGCATTATTGTCAAAAAACGTTTCATGAAATCCTAAATAAGTTACGTTCACATACTTATATGTAAATTATAATATACCCATACCTTGCAGGCATACTCTGTGCTGAATGTATACTTAATGTTTCCGATCCATCACTTCCATATCCAGGTTGTTGCTCATGCATTGCCTCTAATCTTAATCGCTCATTGGGTAGTCGCGGATCTCGAGAAAACCTTGTTAGTTCTTGTGCTGCAATTATGCTATACACAATTTATCCCAATCAATCTTATCAACTTTATTAAGTATTGAAGGGCAGAAAAATTACTTTAAAAAAGAAACCTGGATGTGGAACTGTCATCTGTTGACCACTGTCTTCATCTGCAGCCCATGGAGCTGGTGGCAAATTTCGATTGCAAGTTCGCATATCTGATACTATAAGGAAAACCAGAATTTGTTGACATGAAAAAAGTTTTTAAAAGAAATTAAAAATTGGTAAATAATTTTTTTGTTAGAATATTGCAAGACATTTAAAATTTAGAAGAAATTGGTAAGTTCATAATGGTAGAGAGCCATTCAAGAAAACGACATACAATCTTTTCTGTTTTTTGCCATCACCAGGAGATGATGGTACGCTGAATAAACGGAAAGTTTCAGTAAATTAATCTTAAATTAATCGTAAATTTCAAAATGTCATCATTTCAGGAAAAGTAAATTGTTCTTATTGAATTAGTTCAACGATGGTTTTGCAGCTCTCGATAAAAGTAAACCGTCAGTTATAATATATTGAATAATCACAAGTATTAGGAATAGCTACATGGACGCATTGCTATAGCAGATCGCGGTCTTCGTTCTCGATGTGAGTAGCGAACAGGCATATGATTACTGTAACCATGATCGGATAAGTATCCTGATGGATATACCACTGTCCAGTCCTCTTCAATTCGTGTTCCGCTTCGATCATATGTCCGTGATCGACGCATCCCGTAATTTGGATGCATCATATGTTGCTATAAATTGTAATCAGTTAAAATGTTCTAAAACTTTGCAACTAGGAGCTCATATAAGCTAAAGCTTTAAAATTGTTTACATTTAAAAACGGGACATTTATCTCAAAAGTCACTCTTTGCATTGTCAACTCATTAAAATATTAATTTTCCAACCTTTTCCAATGATCAAAAGATAAGAAAAAAATTAAGCAAACTATTTAAGAAAAAAATGAAACTAAAAAATTTGAAAAAAGAAAAAGAAATTAGAATCAAGTATTCATTTGAGGAAAAATAAAATAAGAGAAAATAAAGCAAAAAAAATAATAAAGCGATAAGTAAGATATTTACGGATGTTGGATTTACGGATATACTGAAATATTCATTGAGTCATTATTTCTTCTTTTGTCCAAGAATTTTTTAACATTTAAATGTTGTCAAGCATTTGATTATTTTCTCAAAAATTCTTCTAATAATAAGTGTATGCTGCTTTTTTCCATTCCTTAGCTTTATTAAATGATGTATGTTTTGAACTTGTACGAGTAATTTATTTCGATTTCGTACAAGCAAATATAATATTATTAAATTAATAAACGATTCAAATTATCCATTCTCATAAATAAAAGATCCATTTGAAAAATTTTGAAAAACAAATTAAAAAAACAAATTTAAAAACGGATTTAAGAAAAGACAATAATACTGATATTTTTTTTTATATACAAAAATTAACAATGACTAGTTATGAATCTAACAGTACGAAGTGGTAAATCCTTTTTCTTCACAAATTAATAAATAATCGTATCAAATGATACCTGTCGTGATCCAGGGTGATACGCTTCATAAGTTGTCCTGTAATCGGCTGCTGAAAATGATAATTGACAAGGCTGATAACATCTCTTTTTAGGTTGATAAGGCTGATAACATCTCTTTTAAATGTCTACATTAGTTTTTCTATCAACCAATCTTCCTTTTTTGACTATTGCTTGCAGTCATCAAATGATCAGTCTCTACTTAATATAAATAGTGAAAAGCCAACTACCGCCCAACTTGGAAAAAATATTAGCATCTTAATTCCTATTCGTCTCATAATCTGAATGCCGTAAGTCCACATTCATCGATTCTTCATTACTTCTTCAATATTTCTGATATAGCTGAATTGATCAACTATAATCTTTCCCTCAATAAACTAAAGTTTGATTTCAATAATATTCGCCTCTACAACTTCTCGAATTAAAACTCCTCCTTTTAATTTCTATAACACAAACCTCGTTGTTGATGAATGTTCGGATAATATCCCAATTCACTTTGTGGACGTGTAGACGCGTAATAAATGTTAAGACGACGTTGTTGTAGCTTCTGAAATTGCTATCAATCACAAAAATCCTTTACTATCAAAATTTAGAGTTGCTCTTACTCAAGTATTTTTCATCTCTGAGATATGAACTTCTTAATTATTTTTGCTTTTAACTCGCACATTTATTAAATTAAATTGTATGAAATTTTTGAAGAAAAAATAAAATAAAATCATTTAAACAAAAGGTAACCGCTCTAAGTGGATTATCTTCATCCATATCAACCAGTGTATACAAAAATGGTTCATCGTCTAAGTGGGCAATCGTAAAATCGATCAGCACTTCACCCATAAATGAATTTGTCTCGTATTGATCGTAATCCCATACTGTCACCTTTAAATTTCAAATAATTGGAATTTTTTTAAATGTAATTATGGCAAACTAATTAATTTTTCATTATTTGAAGAATGAAATTTTCTACAAATTGATCACTTTTCCTTTATTATTATTCCGATAATACATATATTCTCATTACAGTATAATCTCATAACTGCAAAAATTTTCTGAGGGTAATAAAATAAAAATTCTAATGATTACAGTACAGCATAAGTTTGCATCCAACTAAAAATAATAAATTAATTCTAATTAGTTTTTATTAGTACGAATTTTTTGCATGCACTTTTGTAACTGTTCAATAAATTCCATCGTTGAAGATATTTTGTGAGAAAAATTTGTAATTTAAATAGTGTCAAAATTAGTTGTTGATAACTATAATAGATTAAAAAGTATTGCCATTCCAATTATCAGTTCTTTCGAATAAAAATAGGAAAAAGAGAAAAACCTCCAGAACACGTTCCATTAGCATTGATTTGGTGAGACCGTGATAGTAAAATGGTTCGTTCCAAATTGGATTGCATGTTTCCACGAGTACCGCAGATTGACGACGACTTTTTTCACTTCGATCCGGCAAAAGAAATAATTTGATGTACGGATTACGAGCGGCACCATCTGGTCGAGGCGGCAAATCCACTGCACGTCTCACCGTGACTACAAGCTGCCTTTCTGCAGCACCATGATATAAGGAAATCTGAAATAAAATATAAATTTAGTCAATTTATTCTTCCTACAGTGCAGTAAAATGCGTTTAAATATAGTAGGTCTAATATATAGTAGTGATATAGTAGTTTTAATGTGAAACTATTCCGTCAAAATCTATAAAAGATTTTTAAATTGAAATCTATAAAAGATTTTTAAATTCTTCTGGTTTCTTCACTTCAAAAACAATTCTTCGAAGAATATACCATATCTCTCATATAGCAGCATAATGGCAATTTACCTCAATTCGTCCGAATATCTGTCCTCTTCCAAATTGCATTCCACAATAATCGTCAGATGCAATTACTCGCGATGGACCTAAATAGTTTTTTATACTCTTTGTTTGTCTATCGTTTCACATCAATGAAATATGAAATTAATCCATTCGAAAGTGGTAACTTTTGAACTAAATTTGGATATTATTATTAGCCTGAAATCTTTCATTTGTTTGTATCACTATATAACCGGAAAATTTTTTTACCACAAACATCCTCTGTCTCGCTTTCTTTTCTATTTCAAAAATTTGAAAAGATAATTAATTAACAAAGGATAACATTCGAAATAAAAAAAAGAATTCTACTCTGGAATAATAAATTTGATAAAAGATTACTGAATACAATTTCTGTTTAGAGACTATTTTACTTGTGTAATCAATTGAGATATATAAATAGACCACTGATATCAGTGTATCATTGATATGAGTAGTAATTACCAGCAATATCGTACAACGACGAATCGGTTGCTTTACGTATCAACGCTGGGTGGTAATTTGAAGGTGCATTAATAACAGGTTGCATATGCAATGAAGCCATTCCGGATTGCGAATGCGAAAAAACACTTGGATCTAATGAATTGCTTAGATAATAATCACCGATTTCTGATCCTCCTACATTTAATACTATGGATAATGGATTTAAAAAAATTAATTATATAAATGAAATTACTAATTGATCAAATTAAAATTATTCGACAAAGAATGAAAGAAAGAGGAAAAGATGAAAAGACATAATTGCAAGAATGAGTGGTTCTTTGTTGTATATTTTAAAAAATTCAACTCTCAACATCAAGTTTAAAACGGTTCGATAAAACATTTCAAATTTATATAATTCATTTCAATCAGTTAACTTTCTAGTCTAATTTTATTATTATTATTATTGTAAATAGTGATCTTTTTGATTCTTAATAATTATTCAAAAAAAATTTCATCCTTTACTGTAAGACTTTCATTTACATCAATTAATCTCAAACAAAAATTACCATCAAAATCAGAAATGATCAATTAAGATATCCTATAAAATAATGCTCTATTAGATTTATCTATGAGTGTTAATAATTATAATATATCACATTTATTAATTAGAGAAAACAATTAATAATAAAATAGAATTGAATGGATTAAAATTTATCATTACAACTCTCGCTCTTTTTTTCTAAAATTTTTTAAAATATCACATTAATATTTTTACTGCTAGAAATTAGTTTTTTTAAATTTAAATTATAATTATCATTTTTCTCTTCTTAATTTTTTCTCGAAACAAAATGCTTTCAGTAAAATTAATTCACACATTCAATTTCATTAGTTCATATTAATTATGATACTAACCGGTTGGAAGGAATGCCGGATTTGGTAACATCCTTTGTACATTCAGGAAATCATCACCACCCGGTGCACTACAAAACATTCAATAATGAATTTTTCATATGCTCAAAAGAAAGAAAAAGAAAATATCACTTATAATTGGAGAAAAAAAGTTTTTCCTTTTTTCATTATAAAAAAAAGAAAGAAAGAAATTAATGGATTATTGAAAGGATAAAAATAAATGTAATAGGCTCGTGTTTTTCACTTAACTTTTGTTTTTCGCTAACTGTTTTTCACTTAACTTTTCATTTCTTTTTCTCTCTTTCCCTTTCTCTCTTTCTTTTTCCCTTTCTATCCTTTAACGCTTCTATTAAAAGAAACTCTCATAAATTGTAATTCCCGATAATGAAGTAGGAATTCGAATGAATATCCTTCAACTAATCACAACCTTTCTGGCAATCCCGCTTTCTCTCTTCTCCTTCTATCAATGCACTTAATCTAACGCAAACTTACTATCAATGATATTTAGATCGATCGATAGATATATACGCTATATAATTTCATCATCATAAATTTATGTCTCATAAAAATTTACAATCAGAGCTTTAAGTAACACACACACACATATATATATATATATACATTGGTTGCAATTAAATATTAATATTATTAAATGAAATTTCAATAACTTTTGAACAAATATTCCCTGCTATTAATATTAATTGATTGGTATTATCTTTAATTATCATAATAATTTCATTTGTTTAATGAGTTTGGGAGATTTATTACCTCATTGAACGTGAAACGATCAATTCAACTTGTGTAACATTTTTTGAGGAATTTATCGCATCATAGACCTGATCAAAGGTGGCATTTTGTAACTGACGACCATTCCATTCTAATACTTCATCACCTGAAATTATTACATCTATATATATCTTTTCTCCCATTTTTATTATGAACAATGATGGGCTAGTTATAAATTGCTAATTAGTTTGAAGTAAATTATGACCATTAATATTTCTACAATTTATAATTCTTTTTTATGTTATTCATTGACATCATTTATTTTCTGATAAATTTCTTCTTAAAAATTCAATGTGAAATATTTAAAAGAAATCTTACGTTTGAAATACATGAGATAATTGCTCAAATTATAAAAAAGTTATTTCTGAAATATTCACAAAATAAACCCTGTCGAAGATGACCAACAGTGTCAGCAACAGATCCAGGCTTTACTCGTGTGATAAATGCGCCTAAACGACCGGTATCTGATCGTCGACCTCCAACAACCTTAAAATAATTAATTATTAGTATCATAGTACAAAATCAAAATGATTCATATAATATTTTTGATAAGAAACAAAAATTCCCCATACTTCTAATGAATACTATGATGCAGTATTAATATTTGAATAGCAATACAAAATATTGTCATTAACTAATCATAAATTTAACTATTCCTTCCTGCAATGCCTTTCTAAGCTTATATCATAAATATTTCGAAAGGAATACATTAATTATAGATAGAAATAGTTATCAAATCGATCTTAGGTCCTTTCATCTTGTCTTAAAATTGAACCAAAGTTTATTCCTTACAATTCTTTACAAAAATTCTGTTTGCTCTCAAATTTCTTGACTTAAACCAATTATTAGAATTACTTCAAAAATTTTACATCATTCAAACTTTTTTTCATATAAAATACTAAAAAAGAATTTATTAATCTGTCATACATTATTATTACTCTATCATATAACTCATCGATCATTGTGGAATAATCTTATCATAGATCTAAATAAATAAATATACTAGTGAAATAAATAAATTATCTTTTACGTATAAAAAATCATTACTTAAAGTTTGAAAATTGCTAAATTTATTTTTAACTACAAAAATTTCTGGCAGTTTGAAATAGTATATTCATATTTGATGCAAAAATCACCTTTTTCACTAATTTATATTCGAAAGAAAGCTTCTTCTTAATACCAGCTATTAAATACTATAAAATAATTAAATGGACAATTTCTGTTTTCATTTTTCCTAATAATGTAATGATGTGAATGGATTAATGTTATGATTCAAATAACTTTATATTAGGAAAAATATAGGTATTTATATAAGTAGAGTTAATTTTCTTTTTTCGCTTCTACCAAATTTTATTATTATAATAGCAAAAACGAGTTTAATTTTTAACCAAATTTAAATTTGGAAATTATACGATTTCTTTTGCTTAGCATTTTTATCGATTAGTTGTAAGATATGCATATATTAAATTTTCAACCCATTTTTTAAATTATTATTTGTATACGTAATTTCTAACAATAATATATAATCTTTTGTTTTTACTCTTTTATTTCAACAGCAGTAACTTAAAAATTCTTTCTTTCAATTTAAATTTTCATTTAATTCCTTCACCACTCTAAGAATCTTCATTAAGAATCATCATAAATATTAAGAATCATCATAATTCCTTAAATTTCGAAAATTTGCCAGCCATGAGGAAAAAGAATTAAGCACAAAATTACTAAAAGTAAAAAAAGAAACTTTTAAGCCAAGATCTCCTTTTGTACCATTCGCTTTATGTAAAACCATATGTCCGATTAGACGATGTTGATCTGCTGATGGTTGCCATGTCACCGGATGCTTAAATTTTGATATATTTTAGCAAAAAATTGATATTATAAATCATTACAGAAAAAAATATTGCAATAAAAAAATCAAACATACATTTGTTGAAATTGAATAGTTTATTCCAAATATTAATTTCAAAAAAACAATTCACTATTTTTCAAATAAATTTCATCACTATTCAATTTGATAAAAACAAAATGCATAAACATACAGAAAGATAGGTGCGTATTTTGGCTGCAAGCATATCACCAGGTAAAATAGTTGATTGTACTACAGGTACATTCATCACTTCATTACTACGTTGAAATTTATGATTTGAATCGAATGAATCTAAAAAAAGAAATAATAATTCATCTGTTTATGTATGATAAAGTATATTTAGTTAAAATATTAATAACCAACATAGCAGTAGTATTAATCCTTGTTGTCGAAAATTTGTAATTTGATCAAACATACGATCGACGATCGCCAAGTATTTTTACATATAATTGCTTATAACTTTTTCTTAAAAATAAATACATATTTAATAATGCTACTTAAAATTTGCCTTATTTATTTATTGGTTTCCACAAAAATTTCTTTTATCATTTATTGCTAATATTTAGATTAAACAGAAACTTTTTTACAATTACTTTTTACTAGAAATGCAAAAGTAATAAAAGATAGTCCTATGATAAGTAAGTTCTAATAATTAAGCATACCTTGCATGAATTGTTAATCATTGATTTAAAAAAATTATTGAAACTTAGAAAAAGTGACAAATTCATAAACATAAATAATTTTGCAGATTTTTACATTAATTTATTAGTACAAATATACCAACAATGAGAGGAAATAAACTCTAATAGCGGTTAAAATCATAGAAGAAAATTAAAAATAGGTCAAACATTAATTTATTTGTATATAAATGAGCATTAATTATTACATCTAAGATTAATTATTACTATTTGATACTATTAAGTTATTCTTAGTTTTCAAAGAGTGATTCAAATATATGTCTATTGATATGATATGAAAGAGTTAAAAGATTTTTGATTATTGATAATATATGAAAGAGTTAGAAGGTTTTTGATTATTGATATGATATGAACGAGTTAAAAGGTTTTTGACTATTTTGATGATATGAAAAAATTTTTACATAAAATTATCATTACATAATTTCATTTAACTATTACTATTTCAATGATATGATAATGCATGATAATATCTAATTTGAATTTTACAAAAAAAAAGGAAAACAAATCCAAAAATAACGATAATAAATATACTATTTTTGCTTTTTCCTTTTTTTGAAAAAAAGTTTAAAACAAAAATGAAAAAGGGAAAAATGGAAAATGAATGAGAAAGGATGGCATGGAATGGAACATCTCGTATTGACACCTCATAGACATTCATGAATTGAAGTTGGCAAAATGATCGGAGAGAATTGTATGCAATATCACATCAAATTCCTTTACTTATAAAGCGGCAGATTTGCAAGAAAGAGAGAGGAAAAAGCTTTTTCAACGATGTAGAAGAAAGAAAATACGCCAATTGTGATTTAGTAACCATCAATTCATTGTATTTAATTATTTAATTAGACTTACAAATATTAACATTAAGTGCATTAACATTTTTTTGACACGATTTTTTGAGAATAATAGAAAATGTGAAAAAGCAGCATAAAATGTGTTTGAAAAAATTGTTTATAAAAGATTTTCAATAATATATTCCTATTTGATAGCATAATGTAATCACGAAATAATCAGTTAAAAGATTGAAACTATCTTATATAATCTTTCTGATGATATCTTTGAATGAAATGATTTCAGCATCAAAGATATTGTAAAACAGATTAGAATATATAATTCAAGTCCATTTTGCTTAATTTGTTTAGTCGTTTTAAAAGTATGCAAAGTATGATAGATAACAATATAAGTTGAATTCTTTGAAGATACTCATAGTGATGCTCATTAAATTAATTTTCCTTTACATTCCATATTAACCTATTAGACTCTATCTTTATATCAAATAAACGATATGCTATGAAATTCAGGAAATTCCGATAAGCTATTAAATTATCATAAAAGCTATCATTGTTACTGATATTTAGTCGTAATGAAGAAAAGAATAAGAATATTGAATATTTATGACTTCATAATGATACATGACATAAATAAAGTTTCAATATAAAATTAAAAAGCAAAAAATAGGCTAATGTTGAAAGAGAAAATTTGAACAGATTCGATAATTAAAACTAACATTTCCGTCCACTTCGCATTTTTCGTGAGCCATAAATATACCTTAGGATATCTGTAAAAGCAATTTTTCAACATCGCTGCAATGTAATCATATCAAAACTATTATTACTAGAAATTAAAACAATAATTTAATTTTTTATTATAAACTAAAAAAAATATTTAATCTTTTGTCGTAAAATAAATGAAACCTTTCTCGGAACTGATTTCTGTATCAGCTCGTGGTTGTACTTCTTCATTATTGCCATTTGATGTTGATGGCAACTCATCTTCCGATGAAGACATCGAATGAAGTTGTCTGTAAAGTTAAGTAATTAACTTTCTTACTTAACATGATAATGCTTTTCTTTCCATGCATCCAAACTTGCATAAGATTGAAGTAATCAAATTTATCAAGAAAATATGAAGCATATTTGTGTCGGTGAAGAATTCACCAATTTATCATTCATCAATTGATCTTCTAAACTTTTAATAAAAAAATTAAATATATTTATACATGTTGCTATCAATGCTAAATAAATTTAGCATTATGAAAATAACCTTTAAAAAAAATCATTCAAGGAATCATCATATTAAGCTATCAATAAAGGTCAAACGTCAGGTTAGAATTTTTAGGAATAAACACATCATTCTAGTTCACTTTACTGAAACTTCCAGACGTGGAAGCTCTAATTAAGGAAATAATCTTTCAAAATTTATCTCCCGCTGAGTTTTCATACTGTTGTTGGCAATCATATTGCAAATTTCAATGAATAAAGATTATTGATGAGAAGTTGATCATTAATTAGTGAATGAAACAATGATAGGAAGTTGATCAGCAATTGATAAGACACATCAATCACTGATATATTATCAATTTCAGTCCAGTCATCTTGAAGTACACAAGCAAAATATGAATCAATGAAACCAAACCTTGGAAGTCTTATTTTTCGTCTTCCAGCTGAAAATGTACTGCTCGTTGCCGGTGGTAACGGATGAACTTGTTGCTGCAATAAAAAATTTTTTTCAAGATAAATATTTCAAATTTTTTTGGTAAAATTTATTACTTGCTTCATACTTTATTTTATCATCAAATATTATAATTAAAACACCTCAGCTATAGCAGATGTTCGTTCAGAATCAGTTTCACGGATAGTACGTGAGCGACGTAATTCGGCACCACCTCCTGAACTTACGCTAACAACAACACTCGAGCATGTCTTCCTAAAGAAAATACAAAATAGCATATAAATTATTTTCTCATCTTTCAAAAATTCATGCCAAAAAAACTTTTTCCTTCTTCATTTTCAAATATCAGAGAACTTAAACATTAATATGACAAATGACAAATAGAATTTTTGAAGACTAACCTAATTAATTGCATTAAATTAAATCAAATGTTCAAATAATTTAGCATTTTTAGAATGGACCCAGGTGGCAAACCAATCACATTTTATGTCATAAATAAATTGCATCATTTCTGGCATTAAATACAATGATGATACATCATGTAAATATTACAATAAAATTTGTTTAAAAAAAAATTAATTCATAGTAAAAATAAAAATTTGAAACTTAATTAAGAGATATTAATATAATCTTTCAAAATGAATCATATAAATATTCATCCACTTTAACAGCATTTCTTTTTATTATCAACGACTTAACTATGACCAAAGGTAAACTTCGTTATATAAACTTACTGTGTAAACTTATTTAGTAGTTTTTTTTTAATATACTATTATCGATAATAGTAATGGTTGTAGAGGTGATATTATAGAAAATGAATATCAATCAATTTGCTGAAAATGAGCATAACGATGTTTTGATGAACGTATACTTAAAGATGTGAAATATTCAGTGATAATCGGTTAATGGAAATTTTCCGATGTTAATAATTAAAAAACAAAAGCAATGAATAATTTTAGTATGAAAATGGATAATATAATGAAATGAGAAATGATCGAATCTATTTATTTGTTAATATTATATGTGTAACTGAAATTCGATCAAATCGTTTTTTCTTTTCTTTTTAAAATGCATTTTATAATTAATGCAAGGATTGTTTTATGCAGCCATTTTCAATTTAAATGCATACAAAATTTTATTTTCATTTTTGATATGAAAAAAGGAAAAAAGCGCCTGCGGCCATTTTTTTAAATTTGAAATGAAGAAAATATATTCAAACCAATTTTCATTTCTTATTCAAAAAGAAAGTAACAGATAAGCATGTATATGAATACATACAATAAATCATACACAAAATAAAAGGGAAATTTTTAAATGAAGTTCATTTTGTATGATTAAAAATTAAATTGAAAAGGATGATAATCGATTAAGAATTGAATATTTTAATAAATAAATTTAAAGCAATTTATCCTAATAAATGTAATTGTATTTGAAAAAAAATTCGACAACTGATATGATAGTTTGGCATTATGCAAGTAAATTAAATAAAGGTTAAAATAAGTAGAAGAAAAAGTTTGGAAAAAAGATGAAATAAGTAAATCACTACATGTTATCTTAAATTATGAAAAAAAGGTTAATTTACAAAAGAAGAAAAAAGTTCCAAGAAGTTAATTTCAGTTCAATCGTTCGATCGTTAGAAATTAGTAATGAAAAATAATTCAGTTAAAGTAGCAAACTTTGCGATACATTTTAATCATAGAAAGATGAAAGTGCAATTTCAACATTTACATCAAAATTATTTCAATATTTTTGTCAATCTAAAATAGTATTAGAGACATTGAATTGCTTAAATTATTAGAAAAAAGAAAAAACTAATTTCATTATAATTTAGTAAACTTTTCACTTTGCAATAACAAAAATTATTATAGCGATAAATAATAAACATAAGTTAATAAATTTGATATTTTATGAAAATAATATTAGCATACTTTTTCTGAAGCATAACAGCAAATAATTCATTATTAAAATATGCAAAATAATTTCCTTCGATCAGATTTTAATTTTATCGCACTGATGTGTAGATGATATAAATAAATAAGAGACATTTATGAAATGTTTGAAGTTAAATGCGGTTTTCAATTTTGAATGTCTTAACATAAATTTGACATACACACATATATGTGTGCTTGTGTGTCAAATTTAAATCTCACATATGTGTATGTGCGTATGTGTCGAATTTAAATCTGATCCAAACTTTGAAAGTATTACGAAATATATAGATAGACACGTGCATATGATAAGTTTCTTCTTGAGCATAAAATGAATGTTTAAAACGAGGAAAAGAAGGTATAAAATTTAAGGGTATAGAAATATAAATTGTTAAAGAATAGGAATAGATAATAATATACATACCTTTTAGGTAATGAACAACTTTCCAAATCTTTTTGCCTTCCTGTGTTTTCCTCATGTTCTACATGTTCATCACAAATTATAACATCCGATTGAGATTGATAACTTAAATTTCTTTTTAAATTATTTCATTGAAATAGTTTGAAATGAAAAAGTGAGAAGGAAAATAATAAAAGTTAATGAATTTGAAGAATAAAAATATTTTTTTGTTCTTAACTTATTTTGATAAAAAACCAACGAATAGATAGAATATACATTTGAATGATTTGTTTATTATTTTTGGTAATTCTAAACGATGGCATTTATTTCTTCTATAATAATTTCTATGACAGCTAAAGCAATTTTCTTAAATTGATAATGATGATCGTTTTTTTTCTTTCAACGTGTGGCAGTAATAATAAAATAATAAAAGAATGGAATTACTAATCAATTTATCGCTCTCTCCTCTTATCAAATAATGAATCGGAAATTTATATTTATTACTGTATTGAAAAAACGTATGACATGATTGCTTATAATCTACAATTCCGCTACTTACATGTCTATAACATAAATCTTATATTGTTGTATGCAGTTATGCAACTTTTCTAAAATAAGTTTAAAATGGATGAAAAATAAAATTGCCAGTTTTAAATCTGATTAATCTTAATTAAAGGAATCTTTAAATATATCTCAAATCTAGTCAAGAATTTACGTTGTAAAGATACAAGCGGCACATTTTGTTCGTCAAAAACCGTCGCATTTAGCCAGTTCATAACTGCCATTTTACCTAGTTAAAGCTCAAAAAATAATTTGGTTAAATTTGAAATTGAAATGAACGAAATGATACCTTCTACTTTGATCATCAAATGATCTATCAGATTCTTGCCGTAGCTTTTCAGGACATTTAGTTCTATTCTTTGCATAATCACATTCAACACTTGATTTATTTTGCATCAATCGATCGCTGGCATGTTGAATTGGCTTCATTTGTTGTTGTGATAATTTATAATCTGATGGTACAACTTGCTCGAAACTTTCAACACTCATCGATCTATCTGCCGAACATTCTTCATCATTATGTTGCTTCAAATTATCATGCATATGAGCTGCTGTGCCATTTCGACGTTCCGCCTGATGTTCAAACTATTATGGATTACTTACTTCCAGAAATTTTGCTTTAATTTCAATTTTTTTAAACAAACACTTTCAACACTGAAATAATTTGGTAGTGAATGAGAGACGATAATTAGTGCTGTTCAAATAAAATTAAAAATTACTTCAACAGATGACTGCCGCAAAAAAGTCGCCTGTCGCTTAATAGATGATGAATTTAATGATTTTCGTAGGGGTTGTGATCGTTCTTGTTGTGTAGGAACGGATTGTTTAGCATCGGAAGTAATAGACATTGGCGACGATTGTATGCTTGATGCTGGACTAACAGCTGTTGAATATGGCCCATTAGTGCGGCTTACCACACTGCTCTTACGATTTTTTGATGGTATTGGTGTTCGCGGTGCGGATAACGTCGGACTTTAAATCATTTCATTGGATATTTATAAATGCAAGATGAAACGAAATTTGTTTAATGAACTATTGAAATATTAAAATTTTGTTTCACATTTATTTTGTAACAAAACGTTCGCCATTGGTTAGTAAATCAAATTTAGTAATAGTAAGAAAATAATTTGTCATTCTTTTTTTCTTTCCGCCATCCCTCACTCTCTCCTTATTTTTTCCTGAAAATTTCCTTCCGTCCTTTACTTTCTCGTTTGTTTTGTTCAACTAGTCAACAACCATTGCGGAAAATTGACTTAGCATAATAACTTTCAAACATAATGCATTAGGCCATTCATACAGACAATTCACTTTCGAGGCCTATTAACAGAAAAAAAGAAAAATAAGCCTATTGGAAAAGGGAAAATCCTTTTTATGTCAACGAACGCATCTATGAAATAGTAATAGTAATAAGTAATAGTAATAAGATGGCAGTAAATAGCAGTAATAGTAGTAGTTGTAGTAGTAATTAGTAGGTATAGAAATTTCTGATATGATGCATGAAAATCAAAACGAATTTTAAAATGAGAAGTTTATATATACATAAGAAAAAAAGAATTTTTCCCTCACAGTGTGATTTGATTCAATGAATAATAATATCGCAAGCAAATGATTGAAATACAATTTAATTATCTAATTGTAATCTGTGAAGGAAATAAAATTTTAATGTATTGTTAGCTAAAAAAAGGAATAAATGTCTGGCAATTGTTATCGACAGAATTAAGCGATGTAAATGACATTTGTTAATAATTTCGTTCATTTCTATTACAAATAAATTACAACAAATGTTACCACACATTTAATTCATTTATTTCTTTTCACTTTCAATATATCAAACAAATTTTACATTGAATGATTTTAAAATATTTTTCTCAGTTACAAACTTAATTATGAAATAGGTTAGAATTAAGTAAAAACTGATTATTTTATGATAATTAATATCAATAAGTGAAATTATTGACTATGTTAATTAGCTTATGCAATTAACTGTTTCTGTTTAATGTATTAGAAATAGCCAACCTAATATCTACCGGGCTAGCAATTTCTTTTGTTTCATCAGCCATTGCTCCTTGTTGAAACCATTTGCCAGTTTTTGCAAGAATTCGCTGTCTTTGCTGGCATAAAGAGCAGGCCCAAATTGGCTTCAAAAATACAAATAATTAAAAAAATGAAAGATAAAAATTGTCGTCAGCGCAGATTATTAGGTTTTTTGTTAAAGAAAATTTTTTGCTAAATAAAAATTTGAAATAATTTAAATTATTGCTTACAGAAAATATTAAAAAAGCAAAAAAAATCTTTTGAGATATTTGATAATAGGATTGGTGCTGCAGTTTTACGACGAATTTTTGAAATCTGAAATTTGAAATTTAAACGGATTTTTTTATCCAAATTGTAAGCAATTTTAATCCTTTAGAGAAAATATTTTCTTCTGTGGAATTAGTTTTTCGAAAATATTTCTGTTTAACTGTCAATTGTGGTAATACAATTTAATAAAATACCTGAAAAAAACTTCTCTAAACAATTACTGGCGAAAAAGAACAAAAATAAACTAAATTATTGAAGATGAGAATTAACAGTGATTAAATCAATGCTTGCAATTTTAAAATTTGCTTTAAAACTTAGCAAATCCAATATGCTTCAATTTGGTTGTTTATAAAAAGCAATAATTTTTGCTAAAAAAAGTAATTAGCTGAAAATGAATTTTTCCATTTTTATGAAAAGTATATTTTAGGTAAAAAGTGAAGTTATTGTATTTAAATTCATTGTATTTAAAAATAATTATTTCAATCAGCAACAGATAAAATTAGGAAATTTCAGGAATAATAATTGCAGCAATGTGAACTATGAAAGTTTGAATCTGAAAAATGTCAAATACTTCGTTGAACTTGTTGACTTCAATTTAAACACTAAAAAAAGTGTACGTATAAAACAGCTAATATTTACTTTTTTGCAAAAAAGAAAAGTAAATAAATAAACAAATATATAATAAATTTATTAATTAAAATTCATAGAAAAATTCAAAAAATATTGGTTGCAGAAAAAGAAAATTTATTTATATTTTTCTACTAACTTTGTTTCTACTTGCCGTACGACCACCACATCGAGCACATGAACGTAATTGGCAGTAAAAGCATTTGTGACCAATGCCATCTGCAAATTTAGTTTTTTGACAAATTTGGCAAATGGCATCATCTTGTGTTCCAACAAGGCGTTGTGCGATCTCTTTTCGTTGATTAATTTGCTTATCGATAGCTTCTAATTCTTGATCAGCTTTTCTACAAAACAAATATACCTTTATTGATAACATTTTTTTTTTAATATTAAATTACTTAATTATTTAATTACATTTTCTGAAAAAAAGCTCATTACATTTAAATATGATCAACAGTTTTCCATCTTGAAATTATTTTTATAGTTAACTTTCATCAAATTTTCAATTTTGAAAAAATTTTTTCATTTAATCAAATTTTTTCCTTTTTCCCTCTTCTTTATCTTTTTTCTCTTTCTCTCTCGCGCTCTCCCTCATTCTCATTCTATTTTTTAGAATAATAAAATGATTACTTTTCTAAAATCTAATATTAATTGATAAATTAATCATTCGAAGGTTCTGTATATTTTTACAATGATGAATCATTTATAAAGCATGTAAATGAGTATATGAATAATTAATTATTTTGATTAATTGAGAAAAATGTAAATTTTCTTTCTTTCTATCCTTTCACTTACTATCCTCTTACTAATATGCTAACGATGAAGAAATGAGAGTGCTTGACTATTCTCCCCAGTGATTAGTAAATGATTTGATAATTCAATGAATGATAACAATAAGAGTAATTTGAGATGGAAGAAAATGAAATGAAGAAGACGATCTGAAACATAAGTCTGAAGTAACAATGATTTTCTTGTTCCCTCTCAACTATCTATAGACGATTGCAGCCAAATATTTCAGTTAGAATAGAATACTCTTTACCATATGAGTAATGCATATCGGAAATATTAGAAGTAAATTTGCAAGTTAAAATGATTATTGATTTTTCTAATAATTATTTTCCATAACGCTAATTATTGGTGCAAATCTAATTTTCATGATATATATATATATATATCATGAAGTTAGAATAGAATACTCTTCATATATATA